TCTCTCTCTGTCGCCAGGCTAGAGTGCGATGGTGCGACCTTAGCCCACTGCAACCTCTGACTCCCTGGTTCAAGTGATTCTCCTGCCTCAGCCTCCCAAGTAGCTGGGATGTGCAACATGCCCAGCTAATTTTTGTATTTTTAGTAGAGATGAGGTTTCACCGTTTTAGCCAGGATGGTCTCGATCTCCTGACCTTGTGATCCACCCGGACAGTGTACCATTGTCACACTGAGGTCTGCCTTTGCAGAGAGCAGCGGGCCTTGTGGATGCACCCCATGTGCACCTGTGCTTCTGCTCCGCCCACTACCTCCTCCGAGACCCCAGGGATGCAGGGACAGGTCTTGGAGCTAATGAGACCCCCTGGGGCCACACTGGCACCTTAGAAGCCTCTGTCCACCACCCATGTTGAGGTTAATTTTCTCCAAAGGTGGCGGGGTGGAGACCCTCAGGCTTGAAGCTGTGGGACTCCCCACCCCTTCCCTGTCCAGCGGGTCTAGGGCTTTCATAGGTGGCCTTTCAAACAGGCTTCTTCTGGCAGGGGAGACCCTGGAGCGCCTTTTCCTTCTCCTGACCATGCAGATACACCGAGCATACGCCTGTGTGAGTGAGCTACACGGTGTGAAAAGGAGGAATCCCTCTCTGGGGAGACAAGATCTCCTTTAAACCTGTATCTCGATTCTCTTGCCATTTTGTCTCCCTCTGGTGGTCTCAGCTTAGGGTCAGTGCAAGGCTTGAGCAAAATGACAGCAATTTCTTCCCAGACGTGTGGGGCCAGCTGCTTTCATTTCCTAACGAAGCTGTTGGATTCTGGTTCTGCGTTTCCTGCGGAAGTTGAGAGTCGTGCCTGTGAATCTGAAATACTCCCCCCACCCTGCTGTCCCCTTCAGACTTTTCTCTGGGTCTGGGTTCTCCTCCCCTTGCGCGTGTGAGTGGGAGGCAGGATTTGGGGGTCACTGTGGACTGGACTGTTTCCCGCCGAACCAAAGAGCGAGGCAGGCACGGAAGGCCCCCAGGCAGAGGTGGACAACGGGTGGAGTTGCAGCAAGGCCCTTGAGCGCTTCACTGGGCTTGTCCTGGGAGCAGGTATCTGTGGGTGCCAGGGCTGACCCCCCTGCCTGGGATGGGGTACCCTTCATATGTAGCAGCAGTCTTTGCCCAGATGGGCCCCAGAACTGGCAATGCTCACTTCAGGGGGAGATGGGTCAGTCTTTCCTAAATCCACTTAAGGATGTGGGTTGACGCAGAAATGGGAACCTCAAACCAGGTGCACTGACCAGGGCCACCCTGGGTGCTGGCGAGGGAGCAACTGGGGGCAGGGCCTGGGAAGGTGGGAGGCAGATTCCAAAGGGAAGGCCGGCCCCCCAGCCTCCCAAGGACCTGAAGCCCATAGGGTGCCAGGCAGCCCCCACCACAGAGAGGACATGAGGTCACTTGCCCTGGGCCTGGGCACCAGCTGAGGCTGTGAGGCTGGGAGAGCCAGCGCTTCCCTGCAGAACGAAGTGACGCCTTCTAGTGGTCAGTGAGAGCTACTGCATCGGGTCCCACGGGGTGACTCGGGCTTCACTGGGGTGTGCCCTTGAGCCATGCTCACTGGGGATTGCAAGGTGGTGTGAGGTGGTAGAAACGGGCCTACTTCAGGCGCTGGGGCCCTTCGCGGGCCCCACAGCCGGATGCCATAGAAGGGGAGCACAGGGCCTATCTGGCGAGCCTGTGGCAGTCAGGCCTGTCACACATGCTGTCCCAGCCACCAAGCCAGGCAGATGCGTGCACTTCACTCTGAAGAAGCCCCGAGGTAGGGTGGGGGTGCTGCATTGGGATCCATGGCTCCTGTCCCCTCCGTAGGGCTGCTGCTGCTTCCCCTGTGACAGGCCGCGGTGCACCTTCCGAGGAACAGGTGGACAGGGCGTTCTCCCCTGGTGCCACCCCTGAGTCCTGCAGTCCCCCACATTGGTGCCTGCAGCCCTGCCCAGCCGGGAGAAGGTTTATCTGCTCCAGAGCTAAGGGGCGAGGGGCCTGTGGTGGAAGGAGGAACCTGGGTTGACCCTGGTCTCGGATCCCTGCCGTCAGCCGAGGCTTCTCCCTGGCAGCCCACCTGGCACCACCCCTGCATGGAAGCACGCACAGGCCTGCGCCTCCCAGAGGGATTTGGCTGAAGATTCCTGATTCATTTGCTCCTGAGATGACTCTGAGGCAGGAGGTTATGTCTGCTAGAGGCCTGGCATCCCCAAACTGGCTACGCATCAGTGTGAACGGTGTGTGTGTGAACAGTACAGGCTCCTGGTCCCCACCCCAGGGTTAGTGAGTCACACTCTCTGGGGTGGGGTCAGGGACTCTGCAGGCCCCATGGGGGAGGCCAGGCACAGCCGGGGCTGCTCAGGGCTTTTCTCCCTCTACTCATCCCCAAGTGACTTAAGCTTCATGTGTCTCCATGACCTGTCACCTCTCTACCGCCTCTTCGGGGACAGGGTTTGGAAGAGGTCCGTGCCACTCTGCACCTGCAGCTGGGAGGTTCTGGGGTGTTGGCGATGGTGGAGGCCACTGTCCAGGATGCGGCCAACTTTGGCTCTGGTCCCTGCCCTGTCTTCCACTGTCAGTGTGGCGGTGGGTGTGCCTTGCCCTCCCAGCCCCAGTGCCCTCTCAGGCTTCTCCGAGACTGTGTGAGGGAGCAGGACCTGGGTTGGGATGCTGCCTGTGGTGACGGCTGCTGCCCGGGGCCCTTCCTTAGCCACGGTTTATGACTTGTCTTTTGAGCCAGACACAAAAACTTACGAATTCATCAATGACTGTCTTGCATTTTAAATGCTTTTAGCCTTTAGTAGATTCATATGATTAATCTTATCTTTGCAGTAACTCCGTGGAAGTAGAAATCAGGAATTCCCCATCCCCTGTTTTGCTGGTGAGGAAACAGAGGCCAAAAAACAAAAATTGGGTGCCTGACCCAGGGACACAAAGCCTCGCTGAGCAGGGCTGGTGGAAGAGCTGGGAGACTCACTTGGGTCTCCAGATCCCAAGAGCTGCCACCCTCCCTTCCGACGGGCCTGAGATGATGTCACTTTACAGACTGAATTCCTTTGCCAGGCATCTGACCTCCTGGTATCTGGGTCTCCGCTCACCCATCACCCCGCAGCACCGCCTTCCCACCGCCCCATCCAAAGAGAGTTGCTGTCTCTTCGTCCTGGGTTTGGCTGCCTTCATCCAAGTTCACATCCCCTGAAAAGACCTGGCATCCTAGTTGACTTAGTCTGCACAACTCCAGGTGTCCTTGGTGGGCTTCCCTGGCATTGAGTCCCATGGCTGTCGCAGCCTGAGGACACAGCCTGGTGCTCAACGTCACTTAGTCAGTGCTGATATCTGGTGCCAGCAGGAGGGGAGCTGACCTTGGGCATTCCTAAGTTGGGACCTGCTAGGGCCCAGATTCTAGACCCTGACACTTGAGAACACTTACCTTGTTCTAAAACGCTTTACGAAATTGGCCTTAGTGCGTGAGCTGTGGGCGTGGCCTGAGGAAGATGGCTGCTGCATCTTTGCGTCTGCAGCTTCCCGTGTTATGGCCTGATGTGTGAGCCCCTGGTATCGGCCTTCGGAAAGACAGTTTTAGGCTAATGGATCCATGCTGTGACCACTTTGGGAGCTCTGATTTCAATTCCACAGGGCTGGGGGTTGCTGAAGTGAATGCATAACCCAGACTTCTTCCCAGGCAGCTCCAAAGATGTGGGCTTAAAGAGAAGTACAGTTTCAGAGCAAGGACACGTGCTCTGGGTCCAGTGTGGGCCAGTGGCGGTTGCTGCAGGCTCACGCCTTCGGCCGCCTCACTGCTGGCGGCCTGCTTGCTGCCGAACACTTGCTGGCTCCAGGTGCGTGTGCAGCCTGGACGGGGACCTGTGGGCAGGCACCCTGGACCCGGGTCTCCGGCTCTGTTGATGGGTATGAACTAACACCTTCCACAGCCCGTCACATGCACTCACTGCCAGTTGAGGACGGCAGCCCCAGTGGCAAGTCCTTCTGGCCACCTGATTTTGCATATAAAGTTTTCTTGACATGCAGCCATACCTCCTCCTTACGAATCATCTACGGCTGCCTTTGCACCTCAGGTGCAACGGTGAATAGTTGCAACGGAGACCCACAAAGCCTAAAACACGTGCCATCTCACCCGTTACAGAAAAGCTTTGCCCACCCCAGCTGGAGCCACACTCTCTGCCATAGGAGCCACTCAAGATCAGCTTGTGGGCAACATGGATGGGGGGTAGGTTGGACTTAGGGGTAGGTTGGATATGGCTCTAACATGTAGCTGTTTATATTTCAATTAATTAAAATTACATACCAGAAAAGGATCCAGCCCCTCAGCTGCAGGAGCCACAGAGCGAGTGCTTGAAGCCACATGTGGCTAGTGGCTCCTGTACTGGACACCACAGAGATGGAACCTTCCACTGTGGCTGGTGGGAAGTTCTGTTGGGCCCCGATGGTCTAGGGGCAGCAGACGGAACAAGCATGATGTCGCCAAGCCTGGGCCTGTGGTGTGATGGGTGTGAGAAGCTACACCGGCATCCTGAGAGGCCACAGGCAGGCTGGAGCCCCCCGGGACAGATGCACAGGGAGAGGCCAAGGAGAAGCCCAGAGCACAGTTTCAGGTCACCGGCGTGGGTTCCGGGGCTGCGGGGAAGGCATGGAAAGTGCTGTCGTGTTTGGGATGTGATGCCTTCTGGATTTGCAGCCTGTGATTGTCACCTTGAGTGACAGTCATCTGGAATACTGGCACTGTCCTCCTGACACCGCTTGGGCTGCGTTTTCTGGCCCGAGTTTTGATTTTGTGCAGTTACTTGCAGTACTGGATAGCGAGGGAGCAGACTGGCCGCCCCGGCGGCCTGCAGATTGGTGAGGGTTGGGCCCTTCTGTTTTGCCCGGCGTCCTGGCTGCCGTGTTCATGTGCTGCGACCCGGCTTGCAAGTCCTTTGTTCAAGGGACAGCTCCTCTAGGGAGACGCTGACTCTGCCCTCCCTCAGTTCCAGGGCCCTGCGAACCGGAAGACCTCATCGATGGAATCATCTTCGCTGCCAATTACCTGGGGTCCACCCAGCTGCTGTCGGAACGGAACCCTTCCAAAAACATCAGGATGATGCAAGCACAGGAGGCCGTGAGCCGGGTCAAGGTAGACGTGCTGCCAGGGGCCCTCAGGGATGCCACGCACTTTGGGGGCCCCTGGCGGGAGGGAATGTGGTGGGGTGCAGGCCCTCTTCCAGCTCTGACTGCAAAGCCCTCGACACGGAGCAGGAGCGGCCCAGGTGCCCGCGAGGTTGAGGGCAGCTTGCGCCTTGGCTGGCAGAAAGCTGGGATGGGCAGAGGCAGCCAGCTCCTTAGTGAGAGGCCCATGAAATCCCAGAAGCACGACCTTTAAAGATCGTCCCCAAAGCATTCTAGTCACAAAACAGTCCCAAATCCCAGTTCCACAGTATGTGTATTTTTAGTGCCATTCAAAGTGCTTCCAGAAAGGGGGATAAATGAATCATGTTTTATTTAAAATCAGGACCTCAAGAAAGGCTTTGACCTCCTTGTAGCTCAAAGTGCTCATTGGATTGTCTGGTTTAGAACGGTGGGTGAGGCCAGGCAAGCAGAAGATGAGGCCACACCAGCAACATTACATGGGACTGGGGGAGGGGACGCAGCCATCTGAGTTCGCAGCCCACCAGCCCAGGGGGTGAGAAACAGTGGCAGCCTCCTCCCTAGCCCTCACCACACACAGCCTCCTCTAACAGAGGCAGGGGAGCACCATGAAGCCATCCAGGCTGGGCAGGAGAAAGCCAGGTAACCCAGGGCAGTGCTGAGCCCTGGCGGCCACTGCCTCTTAGCAGAGGCCCGGCCCTCCCACCCCATACCCCTGACCCCTGACCCCTGACCCCTGCCTTGCTCTGCTACTTGGAACCTGGCCCACTTTCCTGCTGGCTGATGGCATCTTTCCTGTCCTCCATAGATGGGGTGGTTGACAGTCATTGCTAGTGCCCCAGGGACACTTGTGTGTGCTTGATGTGGGCAGCGGCTGTCCACCCGTCCCTGCAGGGGCTTTGCCAGAGTGTGGGGAGCATCAACCACCAGTGTAACATAACCTGTGCGCCTTCCTTCTCTGCCTGCCAACCTGTTTCTCTTGTATCTTCCATGCTCTCAGAGGATGCAAAAGGCTGCCAAGATCAAGAAAAAAGCGGTGTGTGGGGCCTTGATGCCTTGGGATGGTGGTGTTCGCTTGTGTTCGCTTGTGTTTCTGTGGCTTGTCCTGGGCGCTGGGGGCTGAGGGGGCTCCCTGGGAATCCAAATAATGTTGGAAAGCAGCTTTTCCTTCTTTCCGTGGCAGGTGAATCTTAGATATTTGTGAATGAAACCACAGACGCTTCATTGTTTTTAACCGCCCAGGATTTATTAGTTCCCCTTTCTTAGCATCTCCTGTGTACTGGAGCCTGGATAATGCCATGTTGCCCCTGTTTTACATGGACATTGTAAATTAATATGACTTTTAGTTGATTTGACAGCCTGGTGGGTCTAGGGCCTGGGCCTCCTGTGCAGTATTTCTGAGTTGTTCTGATAGGTAAAGATACCTTAAGCTTAAGTCAGGAGGGTGGGCAGCTCAGTTTGCCCGTGCGGTGCTTTCTTAATTGGAAATGAGTTTTTAGGCTGGATGCAGTGGCTCACACCTGTAATCCCAGGACTTTGGGAGACAGAGGTGGGAAGCATCACTTGAGTCTAGGAGTTTGAGACCAGCCTGGGCAACACAGTAAGATCCCTGTCTCCACAATTTTTTTTTTTTTTTTTGGAGACAGAGTTTCCCTCCCATTGCCCAGGCTAGAGAGCAGTGGCACGATCTTGGCTCACTGCAACCTCCGCCTCCCAGGTTCAAGCAATTCTCCTGCCTGAGCCTCCTAAGTAGCTGGGATTACAGGCACCCACCACCACTTTGGCTGATTTTTGTATTTTTAGTGGAGATGGGGTTTCAACACATTGGCCAGGCTGTTCTTGAACTCCTCATGTCAGGTAATCCACCTGCCTCCCAAAGTGCTAGGATTACAGGCATGAGCCACCACGCCTGATCTTTTTTTTTTTAATTAGCTGGGCATGGTGGCACATGCCTGAAGTCCCAGCTGCCCAGGAGGCTGAAGTGGGAGGATCACTTGAGCCTGAGAGGTGGAGGCTGCAGTGAGCCATGTTTGCACACTGCACTCGATCCTGGGCAACAGAGTGAGACCCTGTCTCTTAAAAAGAAAAAGAAAGAAACAAAGGAAATAGACTTGAAACGCTGGCAGACTTTTAGAAATTGGGTTGACACTGAGTTATTTGTTCATCACCTGGTCATTTAGTAAATGCTGGAGCTTTTCCAATGCTCTTCATACAGAAAATATCAAAATAGTTGGTGTCACAAGGCCGGGGGCAGACCTCAGGGGCCTGGGCACTGGCTTGTTGCCTCCTGTTTTCTTCTGTTTAAACAGCAGGAGATTTAGTTCTCCTCCCTGCTTTGAAGTAATGCCATTTTCTGGCGCCATGGCCAGAGGACCCCATGTGAGCACTCCCTTTTCTGCAGTGAGACTTTGGTCCACCTGGGATGTCTACTTTTTGCCCCACGGCATCTCCTTTGGTTCCGCTCAGGTACAGGAGAAACTCATGCTCCTCTTCCTGGGCTGACTTCCTCGGGGCAAGGCAGAACGTGCCATGCGTTGCAGACTTGCAGCTGGGGGTGTGCTTTTCTAAAAAAAGAGGGGCCCTAGCTTGCAGCCTCACTCCAGCTGGAACAGGGAGTCCCTACGAACTGCAGCTGCCTTCAGGTCCAGAAATCCTACCGTGTTGCTACTGTCTCTGGAGGGGTCGGTACAGGCAGACCCAGCTCAAAGAGGCCTCTGCGGCCAGCGAGGGGGTCACCTGATTACATTTAATTATGGTTTGTTCTTGCTTTTTGGCAAATGGGTGCTTAGTGTCATCGCCAGCGGTCCCTTTCCTGACCTGGCCACGCTGATGACTGCAGGTGACGCCCCCATCTGCACATGTGTGGAGGCCAACCCTGTGGCCTGTTCTCTGGTGTCTGTAGGATCTGTGCTGTTGACACCCTCCCTTATTCCACCAAGGAGGATGATGTGTGTCCTCTTCCTGCCCTGTACTGACGGGTTTCTGCGCGAGCCTGGGTGGCTTCAGGCTGCCCCTCTTCTCCCAACGAGGGATCCCAGCCTCCGGTTTCCTGCACAACTATCACTAATGCCAAGGTCCACCTGAAACTTTTCTCACTCACTTCTGGCTTGGCCTACTTTTTAGCAAGATCATTTTGAGCCACAATCCATGAAAATAACCTTTAAATGCATGCTGGTGTTGAGTGTAACCCAATTCTTAAAAACAGAGGAGCCGGGCGCGCTGGCTCAAGCCTGTAATCCCAGCACTTTGGGAGGCCGAGGCGGGTGGATCACGAGGTCAAGAGATCGAGACCATCCTGGTCAACATGGTGAAACCCCGTCTCTACTAAAAATACAAAAATTAGCTGGGCATGGTGGCACGTGCCTGTAATCCCAGCTACTCAGGATGCTGAGGCAGGAGAATTGCCTGAACCCAGGAGGCGGAGGCTGCAGTGAGCCGAGATCGCGCCATTGCACTCCAGCCTGGGTAACAAGAGTGAAACTCTGTCTCAAAACAACAACAACAACAACGACAACAACAACAACAAAACAAAAAACCAGAGGAAAAGCTCCGCTGTGGCTGCCGATGGTCAGCTGCACTGCTGTCAACTCCTTTCTCTTTCTAATAAGCTAAAAGCAGCATCACCCGTGGGACAAAGCCCCAACGACCCTTTCCCTTGACAATTGAGCTAAAATACACATTTATTATTACAATACCAGGCCTCTCTGCAACTCAGAATTCTTGAGGAATTGTCAGCAGGGAGATTTCTTCTTTCAGATTTTCTAGCAAATAATTAAATAACAGTTTATGCTATTTTGAAATGGAAGCACTCTGGGCTCCCCACTGACCACAGAGAATTATTCACCTCGGCAGGCAAACCAACAGAACTTGAAATTCATTGCCACTGTGCAGTGGTTATTAGGATTCTTACAAATGTAAAAACCAGTTAAAGGCTATCCTGGTTTGGGGCAGACCCTGAAGACTTCACTCAGCTCACAACAGCCCATAACACCCGTCTCACGGGGCATACTACAGTGTTGGTGACAAATTCGGGCCTATTGTGTGGCACTTCTCTTGGCTTCTGTCATTGTGAAGTCAGCTCTCAGGCCAGTCCCAGGGCCCAGTCCCCCAAGGCCGCTGTGGGGTAGACACGATGGTGACAGTTTAAATCAGAAGGAAAGGCTGACATTTCCATTCAGCTTCTCTGAAAATGTCTTCCCCATTTCTTGAGGATACCTAGCATCCCAAATCCAGGAAACGTAGCCTGAGTCTACAGATTCCACCAGGGTCAGCCAGAGGGGCCCTGCTTGCCACTGACAGGAGGGGCTGTGGTGGCAGACCCAGGCGTCCCACCCCATCTTGTTCACGCTCCCCCAGGGCCGGCCCTCGGCCCTCCCGGGTGCCTCTTACAGGCTGCCTCGAGGACTCACGCTTAGCTCGACGATGTGGCCGGTGGCGCACAGGTAGATTTCGGGTGGCTGCTCCTTTGTGGAGTAGCATTTCCTTCTCAGTGGACTCAGGGTAAATGATAAAATTGCCAAGCCTTCCTTTGAGTTATGACTTTATACAATGACAGATAAAATTGTATGTATTTACTACATACAACATAATATTTTGAAGAATGTATACATCGTGAAATGACTATATCTAGTTAACATGTGCATTATGTCCGTTACAATTTTTATAATGAGAACACTGTATTCACTCTCAGCAATGTTTTAAGAATGGAAATATTATTAACAGTAGTCACCATGCTGCACAATAGATCTCTTTAACTCACTCGTCCCGTCTAGCAGGAGCTTTTAGTCCATTGACCAGTAATTGCCCCTTACTCCTTTGCCCCAGCCCCTGGTAACCACCATTCAGCTCTCTACTTCTGCGACGTCAGCATTTTTAGATTCCACCCGAGTGAGAGCCTGCAGTATTTATCTTGCTGTGCCTGGCTTATTTCACTTCACGTCACGTCCTCTAGGCTCATGCCTGCGTTGGAAATGACCTGACCTTTTTCTTTGCTCCAGTGTGTCTGTGAGCGTATTCATCCTTTCGTCATGAATGGACGTTGGGTTGATTTCATGTCTTGGCCGTGGTGGGTAGCGCTGCAGCTGCTCATGGGAGTGCAGGTATCTCTTAGACACACTGATTGCATTGCCTTTGGAAATGGTCGCAGTGGTGGGATTGCTGGATCACGTGGTGGTTCTATTTTGAGTTTCTGGAGGAACTGCTGTACGAGTCTCCACAGTGGCTGCACTGACACAGGGTACCGGGGTTTCCTTTTCTCCTCCCCGTGCCAACACTTCTTATCTTTTTGATAACAGCCATTCTGACAGACAGGCAATGGTACGCCATTGTGGTTTGAATTTGGATTTCTGTGGTGATGACTGATGCTGGGCATTCCGTCATGATGCTATTTGCATGTCCTCTACTCCAAGTTGGTTTTGGACTTTAATAGTATCCACGGTCCTTTCTTAGAACGCGGAGGGGGATGCCCAGACGCTGACGGAAGTGGACCTCTTCATTTCCACCCAGAGGATCAAGGTGTTAAATGCGGACACGCAGGTAAGCGTTTAAGACAGTCGTTCAAATCACATAAACTCCTAGGTTCGCTGCCACTTCGTCCTGGGGTCTCGGCCCTGGTTCTCAGCGATTCTGTCCTGTGCCCTCCGCACCCATCAGCCCAAGGCCCCTAGCCCGGGCTGCGGGAGGAGAGAGGAGCGCGCGGCAGGTGGCAGGCATGCTGGCGTCACCCCAGGGCTCTGCGGGCAGGAAGACCTCCTGGGAGCCCTGGGTCCTTCCCTGCTCCCCACTCCTGGGGATCCTGACGCCTGGGGACGGAGGAGGCAGCAGCCCCGTCGTGTGGCTCATGCTGCAGCCCATTCCAACCCCAGCACCGTGCCCTGTGCTGCCCACCCTCCAAGCCCTGGCATACCCTGATGCGGGCACTGCGGTGCCCTTCCTCCGCACGTCGGTCCCGTGTCCAGGTCTGCGCCTTGTCACGTGATCTTTGTGTCCTGCACTCCCCGACTCCCCCGAACCAGCCTCTCCTGGAGCCTGACACTTGGTGTGAAATCAGGGAGACGGGTGGCAGGGCTCAGGCACTGGGCTTGCGACACTTCACAGACTTGGACTTCATTTTCTGATCTTCTGTGGGCAAACCATCTAGACTAGGTCCCCCCTCCCACCCTCTGAGCCCCACACCTCATCGCCCATCTGTGCTGGGGGGTCCCCAAGGCCACCAGAGAGAGGCTGGACGGGTTCAGAGGACCGACAGGACTCGGCGCCCTCAGAGCTAAGATTTGTTTGAGCAGGCGGCTCCGGAGCAGAATCAGCAAGAGGGCTGCAGGCTTCCAGAGCCCTCCCCACACTCACACAGGACACGCTGAACTCCCTGGCAAGGGGCGGTGACAGCACAGTGAGGTGGTGTCCACCAGGGAAACTCGCTGACACGCCGCACTCGAGGTGTTTACTGGGGGCTGGCCACATAGGCACCCTCTGCCTGGCATCTGCCAAAATTCCAGACCCCCAGAGGGAAGGGAGGTGTGCGGCCCAGAGCACGTTATTTGCATAAACAGTTTAGGCAGAAGGTGCCGCGGTTGTCAGTTTGGGTGCTGGGAGCCCTCCTGAGATCCACGTTCCCAGATGCCAGCGAGGGCCAGCCTTGCAGGCGGGCCTTTCTGGGGACAGCTGCTGGGCCTGCCACCATAACCCTTCTGTCCAGTGCTCACGGCGGACGCCACACCTGGGGCAGGGAGGATGGGGCTGGGAATTGAAGCTGGGCTCCATCCTCATGAGCCGTACAGCCTTAAACAAGTTCCTGAACATCTCTGAGCCTCTTATTACTCTTGCAGCTGGGGCGGTGGGTAATTCCTCTGCTGGATTCTGGGAAGGAGAGAGGAGAAATCTCCTAGCCTGGCCCAGTGCAGGGCACACCCCACCAGCCCCTTCTGTCTTGTCTTCCCTTTTTTTTCCCCTCTGGAAATCTCTGGATTCTGGACAGGGCATGCAAATTAAAGCTGTTGGGGCAGAGGAGCGCGAGAGGAGGGAACAGGTGAGAGACACTGATAAGGCCGCAGTAGCCAGCTGGGCAGGAGAGCAGATACGGCCATGTTGGTAGGCAGCCTCTGTCTGTGAGGAGCCTCTATCTGCCTTTGATGTGAACTGGGAGCTGGGGAAGAAGCATATTTCTGACACCTGGGGATTGATTCAGGCATTGGATGGATTCAGGCATTTATGACAGTGACAGAAATCAGGACATGCTGAAGAGCCACTCCAACTGTTTCCATGTCCCTCCCTGGAAGGTGACTCTCGTGGTGATGAAACACCCTTGGCTTTGGCCAGAAAAAAAAATTGGCCACAGAGACAAAGGTGGAGCAGCATCCACTGCAGGATGGATTCTGTGAGGAATAAATGGGGTCCGCAGGTTGCAGAAACACCCGAGTTTCTTTTGTGAACGGAGGACAAAGGCACGAAAAGACCAGTGGATTCGCTTTTCTGAGCGTTGTGCGCCGTCTTTTTAGGTAGGGGTTGTGGGCAAAATGCTAGCTTGGCAGATTCCTGTCCAAGGACAGAAGCCAAGAGTCACGGGTCTGGTCGAGACCCAGGGAATTGACTGTCAAGGGAATTGGAGTCAGGTGCACTGCCCTGTGTGTCTGTGGGCCCAGGCCTGGGCTGTTGGGGCTCCCCAAGAGCTCCCTGAGTGGCAAACATTGGCCTCGACGCTTTCCTCCTCTGCTGGGCAGGAAGGCCGGGTCAGGCCACTGCGGGGCGCACGGGGAGCTCACCGTTCAGGAGGGACCCTTCTCCAGAGCCATGGGTGGCCTCTTACCCAGGAGGGTATGGGCTTTACTCCATGGCAAGCCCCTGCTCCAGCAGAGACACACCGAGAGCTCACCTGGCATCACGCCTCCCTGGGTTCCACACAGTCCATTTTGGAAGCTGAGACTGAGACCAGAGCAGACTTTGACTGTGAATCAGTACCCTAAAACGCTCTGTTAACTAGGGCCGTGGTCCTCAGTCCACGTGATTTTGTCCCCCCAGGGGACATTGGGTAATGGCTGGAAATAGTCTTTGTTCTCACACTTGGGAAGGGAGAGGTGCTGTTGGCATCTCCTGGGGAGAGGCTTGGAATGCTCCTAACACCTTGCAGTGCCCGTGACAGCCCTCCATAACAAAGAATGACCCGGCCCCAAATGTCCGGAGAATCACGGTGGTGAAACCGGAATTGGAGTGCTTTTCAGTGGTTTGTCCCAGTAGCATTCCCTGACGTGGTGTCGTCTCCCTCCCGACAGGAAACCATGATGGACCACGCGTTGCGTACCATCTCCTACATCGCCGACATTGGGAACATCGTGGTGCTGATGGCCAGACGCCGCATGCCCCGGTCAGCCTCTCAGGACTGCATCGAGACCACGCCCGGGGCCCAGGAGGGCAAGAAGCAGTATAAGATGATCTGCCACGTGTTCGAGTCGGAGGACGTAAGTAAGCCCTGGCCAGGGCACTCCCCTCCCCAGGGTCACAGCCCAGGCGGCTCCAGGGTTCAGGTGCCACGGAAACCACGCTCAGGTGGAAACCCTCCGTGCCGTGACTGACTTTCCAGTGGATCAGTGATCTTCCACATGCTCTTTGGGCTTGCAAAGATTATAAACACAGTTTTTTTGTACTTCTTGACATAGGTTTTCCAGGAGCTGTTTATAAATTGAGCTGTAGTTAAATATATGAGGGAGCTATCTATTTGAAGAAATCCCTTTACAAAACATTTTCCCCACTTGAAGTTAATCTTTGCGTAACTTTTGTTATTAAAATGCAAATGTGCGCATGCCCCTGGCATGCTGTGTTAAGAAAGCACACTTGCACATGAGGCTTGGTTCTGCCTTTGCGTGTGGTATGTCTTCTGAGCAAGTAGAAAGTGATTCTGAAGTATAAGATTTTTCTAGACTCAGGAAGAGATCGCAGGCCTTTGGCTCCCTCTTTGGGCTGGAGAAGAGCATTGTTTTTAGCCTGGACGGGGACAGGGGCTGAGGAGGGAGCCCCAGAGCCAAGAGGGGAACTCAGAGAGAAACTGCCCTTCCTGCGGGGCTGATCTAACACACAGGCCAGCAGGGGGGCTGCTGGTGAGCCAGTTTTGTGGCTGTTGCCAGAGTGAAATTTTAAAAACTGATCTATAGCCATGCACAGCGGCTCACATCTGTAACCCAGGACTTTGGGAGGCCTAGATAGGTGGATCACTTGAGGTCAGGGGTTCTAAACCAGCCTGGCCGAAACAGTGAAACCCTGTCTTTACTAAATAGAGACAAAAAATTAGCCATGTCTGGTGGCACATGCCTGTAATTCCAGCTACTTGGGAGGCTGAGGCAGGAGAATTGCTTGAACCTGGGAGGCAGAGGTTGCAGTGAGCTGAGATTGTGCCATTGCATTCCAGCCCGGGCAACAAGAGTGAAACTCTGTCTCAAAAAAAAAAAAAAAAAAACAATCCTTCATGGGCAGTTGGCCAGGGCATTCTTTTTCACATAAGGACTTGAGGGTGTCTTGGGGAACTGGGCAGTAGGGAAAGGTCCCCATTTGTCATGATCCTGAAATACGGCATGGAATTTGAACTCTGAAGACACAGCGTTCAAACCTGTGGCTGGCACAGTCATCATCTTCCTGAAAAGTTGGGTCCACTTGAAATGCCTCGGCACAATGGCAGATTTCCAGGAGAGCGGGGTCTCAGCAGTGCACTCACACATGCCTTCCTCCGCTACCTGGATGGGCATTTCTGTGTGACAGACCTGGCACGGGCGTGGGCCACAGGTGCTGGCGGAATGGGGCCAGGAGCAGACCCGGTGGCGAAGGCTGGCAGTCAGCTCCTGAGAGGCTTCGAGGGGCACACCGGGAGCCCCCAGGTGCAGCTGACTGGAGGGTTGCAGCCAGCGGATGCCGCTGCAGCGTCGGGTTTCTCAGTTCAGTGGGAGGCGAGGGTGAGAGCTAGCACGGGCCTTGGTGTGTGGGGCACCCAGTGGCCCCTGAAGGAACGAGGCCAGGGCCTGGCCGGTGGCACGTTAGGGGCCCCTGAGCAGCTGCCAGGAGAGGAGGACCCGGATGGCAGCTCCGTCCAGGTGGGCTGCTGGGGTGAGTACAGGGGTCTGAGGGTCTGGGAGAGTGGAGTGGGGCACCCAGGAGACCATAGGAAGCACCATAAGGTGGTCACTGGCCGCTTGGCGTCTTGGTTTCCCCTGTGTGGTGGAGCTCAGTGGCCGGGGCGGGGCGGGGTGGATCAGCCGCGGGGTGGTCCTGCGCACCGATGCCTCTCTGTCCCCACCTCTCCGGCCACAGCCCACCTGCAGGAGGCCACCTGAGCCCCTGGGCGGGGCCTGGGCTGGCTCCTGGCCTTGCAGCAGTGACCGCCCACAGGCTGGCTGCGAGTTGGGGCAGGCAGGGCGCCCCCTTCTCTGAAGGGCCAGCCGCAGAGAGAGCCAGCTTCCTGAACCCCACACCTCCCAGGAGGCAGCGGGGACCCGCGTGGAGGGACCGGGAGGCGGCGGCTGGCGGCACACCAGCGGCCCGGATGACGCCTGAAGGAGGCGCAGCCCGGCGGGGCTGGCTCCCTAGGCTTGGAGCTTCTGCGGGGGTGAAGGGTGTCGTCCAAGGGAGGGAGAATGGGGGTGGCCCGAGGGAGCCCGAGGGCCGTGGGCGGTGGAGCGGGGCTTCCGGGCTCCAATGCCCTCAGGCCGTCCTTTCCAGCCTGGGGTCGCTTTGCGCCCCCGAACCCCCAAATCCCGAGTGTGTGGGGCAGGGGGCAGGTCCCCCGCTCCGCTCCTCCCGGAGGCCCGACCCTCCCGCCGTGGAGCCCCACGTGCCCACCAGCTCCGCAGCCGCCAGCCCGGCGGCGCCATCTGGCGGTGCCCGGGCGCCGCGCCTCCAGCCAGGCGGGCCCGCAGCGGAGATGCTGGGCGTGGGAACTGGCAAGGCCTGGAAACCGCTTGGGACCCGTTGGGGAGGGCAGTTCCACGCCTGCTGGAGGGCAGGCCTCCTGCTGCGCGCTTCTGATCCGGCCCAGCCTCCATTTCCCAATGCGTATTCATCTACTGCTCTTAGATCCTGCCACATGGAGAGTGGGAAGGGAATTAAGCCCAAAGCCCTTGTTTTCACCTGTTTTGGGATCCTTTTGAGAAGCGGTTGGTGGGGGCACCCGTGCAGAACCCCCCCTTGAGGGTAGTTGGGGAGGCAGGTGATGAGCAGGACAGAGCGTAAGTAGGGCTCACACAGCCCAGAGCCGGGCAGGAGGCCTGCTGTGGATGAGGTGTCACCGAGGTCACCAAGAGTCCCGCAGCGCTCCCAGGGCTGCACAGCTGCCAGCCTGCTTGGCGACCTCCAGGAGCCCAGTCCAGCTCTCACCTCCCACTGTCTCCTGTCTGCACATCGGCGGGTGGCCGGCCAGGCCCTGGTGCTGTTTCGGTGTCCAGGCCTCTGCCATGTCAGAGTCGGTGGGGTCCTCGGATGCGGCTCAGTGGAAGTAGAAAGAAGCCTCGTGCTCCGTGGGGCCTGTGTGGAATCCCAGGTCTTGCGGGCCCAGCCTGGCACAGCCACAAATCCCTAGGAGAGCAGCCAGGCACGCCCTGCCTCCAGTGGGCACTGGGTCATGTTGCTACTGAGAAATGCATGCAGGGTAGACAACTAACGGGCGATGCTCCTGGAAAACACACCAAAAGTCCATTTTCAGAATAAGTGGAAAGAAAATACAGATGGGGCCGGGTGCAGTGGCTCACACCTGCAACGCCAACACTGTGGGAGGCCAAGGTGGGAGGATCCCTTGTGTGCAAAAGTTTGAGACCAGCCTGGGCAATATGGCAAGATCCCATCTCTACAAAAAAACATTTTTTTTTAACATTAGCTGGATGTGGTTGTGCTCACCTGTATTCCCATTCCAGTCTGGGTAACAGAGTGAGACCTCATCTCAAAAAAGCAACACAAATATGACATGTAGTAAATACCTTATTGTTGTCCCAGACGTTCTTTGAAATGGGTTTGACTCGGAGCGTCTGGGCCAGGCCACAGCTAAGGCAGGAACCTCCAGGGTTCAGGGAAACACCAGGGTTCGCTCGCAGTGGGGTGCTGGTGGAGACAGCCTTCGCCAGATGAGGGAGGGCCCCCAGTATCTTTGTTACGGGTGCATCCTGCACCCAGCCCTGCCGCAGCCCCTGCTGAAGAGGCCGCGGGGAGCCTGTGCCTGGTGCCTGTCTCCAGCGGGCCTGCCCTCCACACAGGCCCAGCTCATCGCCCAGTCCATCGGCCAGGCCTTCAGCGTGGCTTACCAGGAATTCCTGCGAGCCAATGGCATCAACCCTGAAGACCTGAGCCAGAAGGAGTACAGCGACATCATTAACACCCAGGAGATGTATAACGACGACCTCATCCACTTCTCCAACTCCGAGAACTGCAAGGAGGTAAGCTGCGCCCGCTGGCCTCAGGGAGGCCACGTTGGCCAGTCTCTGTTTCCCCAGCTCCTGCAAAGTGAGGCTTCCCGGGATCCTTGCCTTCCCATCAGACTCCAGTGAGGCCCTGAATGTGCACCTCGCTCCTGCCTTCCAGCTGAGCACTTGCGTGTGAAATGAGGTGTTTGTAACAAAGAAGCTGATTACAGTCAGCTTTAATGACCTTGAAAATGTGCCTTTTAATGCTGCTATTATCATCAGCTAGCGCTCAGCACCCAGGAGGTATTTCTGAAAGGCATGTGGGATCTCTAAGGGAGTGTGGGTGCTCTGGCAGGGGAGGCTGGAAGCCGCCAGCAGCAGAGGCTTAGTTGGTCCCAGTGGCTTCCCCTAGGTGTCTTTGGAAAGTTCTTATGGGACAGAGGAGCACATACCCTGGGGATGGCCCATACCTGGAGTGTTTGTTGAACGGCTGAATGATTGTCTGCCGTTGATGAGTGGATGCTGGTTTCTGCTGCTTGTTAAATGACTGAATGCATCATCTGGGCTTCTTGCTGAAGGCATCCCAGCCAGTTTCTATAGAAGGACTTTCCCAACGAGTGAAGGCGGGGGGCAAGGAATGGGTGCTGGAGTCATAACGTTCCTCTGGCCTCGTGGGTATGGCCGGGTGGGAGGAGCAGGAGCCAGGACACTGGAGCCCTGCTTGGGGCAGGAGGGTCAGTTCTGGGCACGGTGGGGATGGGGTCTGTACTGCCAGGTTCCCAGGGGGGCGTGGGAGCCAGAGTGGGGTGAGGCTAGGGGTGGGTGGGCAGGGCTCCCAGCCCAAGACCTCTCCTGGCTGAGATGAGCTGGCCTTAGATCCCAGGGTAGGGTAGGAGGTGCTGGGACAGGATCAGCCTCATCCTCCCGTGGGTCCTTGGCAGAGGCCCCGGCCCCCGCTGCCAGCCCCTCACACTGCCGATCCCTTTGCAGCTGCAGCTGGAGAAGCACAAGGGCGAGATCCTGGGCGTGGTGGTGGTGGAGTCGGGCTGGGGCTCCATCCTGCCCACGGTGATCCTGGCCAACATGATGAATGGTGGCCCAGCCGCCCGCTCGGGGAAGCTGAGCATCGGGGACCAGATCATGTCCATCAACGGCACCAGCCTGGTGGGGCTGCCTCTCGCCACCTGCCAAGGAATCATCAAGGTGGGCGCCCTGGGACCCTCTGCCCAGGGGTTGCCTCAGCCCCACCTCACTTGATCTGCAACCCCCCTCTTCACTTACGGGGAAACTGAGGCCCAGGGAGACCCACCCGGTGACTGGTCGATGATGGCATCAAAATTGGAACTTAAGACCATTTTCCACGTCTGAATCAGAGGTGGACCCGGGCTGCCCCAGGGTGGCAAGGGGGTGCTTGTCTGAGCCCCGTGCTGAGCCATATGGCCCTGGGCAAGGACACAAGGACCAGTGAGTATGGGGTGACCAGCTTATCCTGTTTTGCCTGGGACTTCCTAGATTATCACTGAAAGTCCCTCTTCTGGGAAACGCCCTCAGTGCCCTTGGGCTGGGGTTCCCTGCATGGGTTGAGTGCTGGGACACAGGTTTCCTTAAGAAAGAAGGCCACCCTGATCGTCAGACTGACGAGCTTGCAGCTTTGGGAGGTGCTGACCGCCTGTCGCTGTGAGGGGTCAGGCAGAAGGGTCACTGGCAGATGGAGTGGGGCCTTCACACTGGCTGCCTGCAGAGGAGTGGGCTCTGCCTGCTGCTGGCAGCTCCTGTGAGCCACCACGGCCTGACACCCAGCCTCGAGGTAGGGAGGCATGTTCCTCCCTACGCTGCTGTGGTCTTGGTGCTGGAGGAAGCGCCTACCTCCTCTTTGTTCAGCCTGAGAGATGGAAGGGCATTCCCCAGGCCAGAACATCCCATGGACCGGCTCTCGGAGCTGGCCTGGCAGAGCTTCTGCCCGAGGGGCAGCCACATAGAGAGGCACGGGAGAGGCCTCTGCCAGCAGCATCAGAGGGCTCAGCGCCGAGCACCCCCTGCTGAGGGCTACAGCTCCCAGGTGGAGGCTTGGGCTCCTCCCCGTGCCTTCTCACCCCCTCCAGACCACAGCGGCCTGGGGCAGCCACTGACAGTTGCGTCCTCACTCACAGAGATTCTCTGTGGTCACCCCCTGCCCTGCAGGTCCATCTTTGGAGGGCTCTGGGCTTTGAGGAAGGTGTCCCATATCCTAACCTAGGACGATCTCCTGATGTGGATGATCATGGCCACCCTCAGCGCCCTGAGGGGGACCTGGTGCCAGGCGTGTTAGGTGTGCCCAGTGGCACTCAGAGCCTGGCATTGCTCCCGCAGCGGCTCATCTTCCTCAGGGCAGAGGCACCCTGAGCATGGTGGGACAGAGAGTGCAATGCCATCCTGGAAAACTGGCAGCCCTCCTAAGGGCCAGGGCAGGGCTCTCCCCCCCGTAGAGAGGGGCCACTGAGGCTGAGCGCGGACCGCGTGCCTCATCCATGTGCGTTCTCACTACCCCTGGCCTCCACTCTGCCAGCCTCACTCCTCTTGGGTCGAGCTTGACGTCTAAGGCCCAGCCTGTGACTCCTGTCCCCGTGCTCTGCAGGGCCTGAAGAACCAGACGCAGGTGAAGCTCAACATCGTCAGCTGTCCCCCGGTCACCACGGTCCTCATCAAGCGGCCAGACCTCAAGTACCAGCTGGGCTTCAGCGTGCAGAACGGAATTGTGAGTCCCTGCTTCTGCCCTGGGCCGCCGCCACCGCTACAGGGGCCAGGGAGGGGGAGCAGCTCCTGTCTGATGGGGCAGGCTATGCCTGGCAGCCGGGCAGGATGTGGGCCATGGGCACAGCTGCCCGCAGCCAGGCCACTGGGGCACGCGCTTTCCACGGCTCTCTGGGAGGTCCTGGGCAGAAGGGGAAGACCAGGGCATGGCCGTGGATTGGGTCCTCCAGCCTTTCCCAGGTGCCTTTGGAGGGAGGGCAGCAGGCTTTGCCAGCCACTGTAGCTTAGACACAGCCAGTCGTGGCATCACTCACTGTGCTCAACAAACAGATGTTCATGCGTTCGTTCATTCATGTACTCATTCATTCACTTATTCACTCAGCCGTTCAGCAGACATTTGTGAAGTACCTGACCAGGCTTTGTGCCAGGCACTGGGGAGGCAGGAGTGCTGCCTGGAGGAGGTGATGCTGGGTTGGAGTGAGTGTAGTTTCACCCAGAAACCTGTGCCAGTTCCCCGGGCCAGAGTTCTGTAGCCCAGGGTTGGCACCGCCTTTGACCTGCGTTTGGTTGCCCTGAATCCTCTTTGTTTTTCCTCCTGCAAAGGACCCAGAGGGCAGAGATGTGGCCACTCAGTGGAGTGAAAAAGAAAAGGGCTGGCAATACCCAAATTGTTTAACCAGCCCTGAGTATGAAGGAGCCCAGGAGGAGAGAGACTGCGGGCTAGGGGCAGTGGCGTGGAGGTGACAGGAAGGGGTGTGTGCCCCCCAACAGCCATGGAGGAGACAGTGGGAGAACATTGCAGACAGACAACCACCAGTTCTCCTCCATTGTTTTCTGGTGAAGCAGCGTGGAGGGCGCACCCACACAGGGCTGGGCTCAGGCTCCATTTCTGACCCTGCTGCGTTAGAGCAGATTTGCTGCTATAAAAAAATCCCGCAAATCTCTATATCCTGAAAGCATATTGTTCTTTGATGCTGCAGTCTCATTTGCAGTGGTGGTGGCGGGGGGTGGGGGTGGGGGAGGGCTGGGGCACAGAGAGGTACAGTGGCTGGCATAGCTTGCTCCTTTGGCAACCTCCACTAGGTGCTCTGTGTCTGGCTGGCACTGCAGGAAGAGAGGCAGCTCAGAAGACCTCGTGAAGCTTTTCAGGGCCAGGGCAGAAGTGACCCTTGTCATTTCTGCCCACAGCCCACTGGCCAGATAGCTCAGCCACGGACCCATGGGGAGTCTGGGAAGGGAGAGCTACCCAGTGCCCAGGACCAAGAGGGATGGGGCATTGGCCAGTGTCAGCCGTGCCTTCCCTGCTGTGTGATCCTTGGCAAGTCACTTGTGCTCACTGGATTCCTCTCAAAAGGTGCTTGTGAAGATCAGCTGAGAAAATCCATAAAGTAACGCAAGCTATCCAAGGTGGGCCCACTGGTCCTATTCCCTGCCAAGGAGGAAGCCCTGTGGCCCCTGGACCTGGCACAGGTGCCGGGACAAGCTGTTTGCAGCCCCCTTGGGACTTCTGTCCAGGATGGTGCACCTGCCACAGGCGCTGGCCAGCTGGTGGTCTGGCCCGCTCTGGCTCTGCCTGGCTGCTCTGCACACCTGTGACCTGGACACAAGCAGTTGCCCCAGCTAATTTGGGGGCTCTGCAACAAATCAGCCGGGGCCCTGGCTGCGGCTGCTGTGAGCACTTTGTGGCCAGGCATGGCTGGGCCCCGGGGAGGAGGGCTGGGAAAAGCCTCCTGGGCTCCGCAACCCCCGGGCATCACCAGGCCCTGCCTGTGTGCCTCCCACCTCAGCACCATGGACAGTGGAGGAAGCTGGGGGCTGACAGTGGGCCCTCGTGAGGAGCCCAGCAGTGCAGAGTCTGGGGTGCTGTGTGGTATCCCCAGGGCTGTCCCTGCCCAGCCAAGCCTGGTGACCATACCACCTTTGCCTCCTGAGTGGCACTGGGGAGCTGCCTGTCCGTTCCTGCACCCCCTTGCCCAGCCTAGGAGGCAGGTGGTCCTGGGTTGGTGGCCGATGCTGCTCACTGATGGCCCCGTTGCTGTGAGTCCTGAAGGAGGGGCTGGCTCTCCCCACCATGGAGTGGTCTGGGGGCTGCCCACTCTTGGGGGCCTGTAAATTCAATCCTGCCCCAGATGAGTTTGAGGCCCCCTGAGTCTGCTGGTCTCCCCGGAAATACAATCCTATGAGGAGCATAGGAAGTGGAGAAGCTGGGGCACAGAGAGGTTTAGTGACTTGCCCCAGGTCACACAGCCCTGTGGAGCACTGGTGGGGAGAGAGGGAGAAGAGACGAGGAAGAGGAGGACTCTGGACCGTGTTTTGTGGGGGCTAAATAAAGCCGATGGGAAAGGAGGGGATGTCACCTGGAGAAGCCTGGCCACGCCCAGGTGCAGGGCTCTGTACCCACCTTCCCAGAGAGCAGGAGAGTGCCGTGGGCACGTGTGAAGCCAGGACAGAGGGCAGTGCACGAACCGCATGTGGGGCTTTCCCCTCCGCACGTCCCGTCTTTGGGGACATGGGGGAGCGCCTGTCAGGTGTGGAGGGAACATGCGCTGACCTGGCCACGTCTGCTTAGATCTGCAGCCTCATGAGAGGGGGCATTGCCGAGCGAGGGGGCGTTCGCGTCGGCCACCGCATCATCGAGATCAACGGGCAGAGCGTGGTGGCCACAGCCCACGAGAAGATAGTCCAGGCTCTCTCCAACTCGGTCGGAGAGGTAAGGAGGGACGTTGGGCGCCTCTGCGTGCCGGTTCCCACGTGCTCCAGCCTGCCCTCCGTGAGCCTCTCCCGCTCGAGGACACAGGGCGTCTGAAGGCCTGCCAGGCTGTGGCTCCCACCCAGGGCTGCTGTGACAGGGGTGAGTGGAGCGGCAGGTGAGCGGAGCCATCCTGGTCTGACTCCAGCTGAGTGACCGGGAGTGCACAGGCCCCTGGGGGAGCTCCCTGGACACTGCTTTTGGGACTGGACCTGTACGCCCAGTTCAGACGCTCTGCAGGGCACACAGCTCTGGCTACTCTGGCAGGCTTGCCCTGTGCCCCTGCTGGCCATTCCTTCCCACAGCCAGGCTGCTCGCCCTGTCCCGCTTCACTGGCTGAACCCCGCGCCGTCCCCCCGCCCCCGCCCCCGCCCCCGCCCCGTCCAATTCTTTCTGGCATCGCTTCCACAGCAGTGAGAATGGTGCGGGGGAGGCGCAGGGTTTTCCTTCAGAGCTCACAGAGCGGCAGGATCATGGTGGGGACAGTGCTGGGGGGGGTGGCATGTAACGGAGGAGCCTGGCCAGTGTGCTGCGGGTGTGCGTGTGTGTGGTGTGAGCGGGTGTGGGTGCATGTGGATGTGCGTGAGAGCATGGGTGGGAAATGAGTGTGTCAGGGTTCATGAGTGGGTGAGTGTGGATGTGTGGCTGTGTGAATGTACCCGAGTAGGTGTGGAGGAGTGTGTTTTGGGGGCATGAGTGTGTAGATGTATGTGTGTGAGAGAACATGGGATGTGTAGGAGTGTAAGTGGGTGTGAGGATGGGGTGTCACATTGTGTGTGTGTGTGGCTATGGGTAAGCATGGGGGTGTCACATGAGGATGTGTGGCTGTGACTGGGGCATGGGGTGTGAATGTGTAGGGGTGTGTGTGGATGAGCATGGGGGCATTGCTGGTGTGTCAGGGGATGCGGCTGTGGGATTGAGGCATGGGGTGTGTGGGTGAGCATGGGGGTGTCGTATGAGTGCGCGCGGGGCGGTGTGGCTATGGGTGTGAGACATGGGGTGTGTGTGTGTAGGGGTGTGTGTGCAGGGGTGTGTGGCTGTGTTTGTGAGGCATGGGGTGTGAATGTGAGAGTGTGTAGGGGTGTGTGAAGGGGTGTTGAGCACGAAGGGGCTGCAGGCTGTCTGGGAAGCGTGGCAGCCACACGGAAGGGAGGCTGAGACGGAACTGAGGAGTCCCATCTGCAGAGGGGCCCCTGAGGGCTGGGCGGGGAGTTTGGAGGGGGGGTCTGGGGACAGCTGAATCAGGCCGCGTGGTCTGTGGGCTCCCCCTGGTGGCCCTGTGGGGCCAAGGGCATGGAGACCATCCTTGCAGCCTGTGGGTGGGTGCGTGGGCAAAGGGGCCTCCGGTTTCTGTCCCTCAGATGAGGTCTCCCAGAGTCACAGAGGGACACTCCCATTTTGTGACCTGCAAGGGCTCGGCCAGGAGCTGGGAGGTCTGTTGTCCCGGGCAGGGGGCTGGCTCAGGAGGAGGAGGGGCCGGGCCACGGCGTCAGCCTCCCTTTGATGTCTTCAGAGAAAGCAAAAATCAGTGTTCCCAAGTAGATGCTGTGAAGGGTCGTCCCGCCATGGCCACCAGCCCCATACCCATGAGGAAATCCACTCATGGAGGAGCGGGCGGGAGCACGGGGAGCCTCACGAATTGATGTGGGAAGAGGCAGGAGGTGGCCAGGGCGCCGCAACCCTTTCAGCCCTGTGAGGTTATGGTGCCTGTTTCCAGCAGCCCTGAGCCCATGAGGAACACGAGTCACTGGTAACAGGCTTGGCAGCTGTGAGGGGCCTTGGGGTGGGTTCCGGTTGAGGAATGCCAGGGAATGCCGGACGGAGGAAGCCGGGTGGGAGGAGGAGCAGAAACCTCCACGGCCACGTAGATGGGCCATGTAGATGGCTGGGAGCGTGAGAAGTGGAAACCCACCCCCGCCACACAGATCCGAAGCGAGGGCAGCACTTGGAAATCAGGGCTGCAGGCCAGGCTGCTCAGCTCGGGGTCTGAGCCCTGCTTGCCTGAGGAGGGCAGATGCGGGGTGGCCACAGCCTGTGGGGAGGCCAGCACTGCCTGAGGCAGCTGACCCTACAGAACAAGGGTCCCCACCCCAGGCGGCCCCAGGCTGGACAGGGGAGAGCATGGTGCCCGGGGTGGGCGGGGGGGGCGGGGGAAGGGGGCAGCAGAGCTCCTCTCCTGTTCTGGAAGCAGACATTTAGGGTCAGCTTCTTCCCAGTGCCTCCAAAGGATTATGAGGCATGCCACCCCCATGGTTGGTCTCCTTGGGGTGGTCTGAGGCCTTGCTTGTATACCCAGCCCCTTTGGAGCCAGGGCATGAGGCCAGGCCCTGAAGGGTCATTTGCTCACCAAGCCCCAAAGGCTGGGGCCTTGAGGTGCCCTGCGCCCCAGCAAGCCTCCTCCCAGCCAGCACACTCGCATGGCTGGTGTTAGTTTTGTAAGAAGGGGTGTGTGTCTTGCCTCATTGGCTGCCTCCTCACTGAAGCAGAGTGTGCCCCTCAAAGTTTCTGCTGAGGCCTGGGCACCTCCAGCAGATGGGCAAACTGTGGTTCCCTCGCGAAGTCCCATTTCTCAACCCCCGGGTGTCAGCTGGACTGGAAGCAAAACTAGCACTCAACCAAGGATGCCCTCTGAAGCCAGGGGTGGGGGACGGCCGTGTCGCTCTGCCACAGCTGGAAGGCGTTTTACGTCCTCCAGGGCCTGGGCAGGCTGGCCTTCCTCCTCCACTCTAGGAGATGGGCATTCGAAGTGGTACTCGGTGGGGTGTGCATCTGTCATTTGCTTTCACCCGACTGAGGGAGGGGTGGGGGAGAGGGCAGCGGCTCAGCCCCTGTCTCTGTCGGCAGATCCACATGAAGACCATGCCCGCCGCCATGTTCAGGCTCCTCACAGGCCAGGAGACCCCACTGTACATCTAGGCTCCCCCCAGCCTGGACACCTGGCAGGCCCCCGCCCCGGGCCCAGAGGAGCTGGGAGCCAGGCCGCAGACTTGACCCCGACGCCACAGCCCAGCCACGGACACTGGCTCCCCAAAGGGCGTGCCCTCGATACCCACCTGGTTTTTTGTTTTTTTTTTCCACTTTGCCAAAAAGGGGCATGTCTTTATCAAAGGAGAGTCACAGAACAAATGTTTGTAAAGCGTTCAAGTATTTTGCCACGTTCTGGACTGTCTTCTCCCTGCCACCGGCCAGGGTGTGTCTCGGTCGCTGTGCGTGGTGTGGACTGTGTGTTTCCTCCCTGAAGCTGTGCAGAGCCAACTGGCGCCTCCAAGGGACGCAGCTCCTGGGGCAGGGCAGCCGTTGCTCTGGCCCCCTCGGTAGGGACATCTGGGGTCCTGTGGGCCCCCACAGTGGTCCCAAACAGCTGCCTGTCACTGACTGCAGGCACACAGGCAGCCCGGCTCCCAGGACGTGACTTGTCATGAAAGTGTGGGGACATGTGATTGATTGATTGTAAATAAAGGATGATGGCCACAACATGAAAACTCCGTATTTATATAGATACCATTACTGTTTGGACTTTTATTTTGGCAAGCTGTTTTCAGACGCTAGGGTTTTCTGACGTGACCTGTGACCACACCTGCCTCTCCCGTCGTCTCTCTCGGGCAGGGCTCCCACAGAGACGAGGGCCAGGCGTCTGCCCCCTCTTTCAAATCGATCTACACACGCTCATCCACGCACATGCTCCCCCGAAGAAACGAAACCCGTGCCGGAAAACGCGACCTCGGCCATGCCTAAGGCAGCCGTGAGCACAGACCCCCCCCTCGGCCAGGGCGGCGGCCCTGAGCTGTAGTGGCGTGTGTGTAGATCAAGTCAGATCGAGTCCAGCTCAGTTCATTAGCGATCTATGTACTCTGATGTCATCTTGTCCCGAAGTCTCTTTGGCCCAGGCCTTGAAGAATACACTGTGACTTAAAAAGCCTTACCACGCAGTAACTAAAGCTTTAGGATGACTGTATTCGAGGAGTGCCGTGTGTTGCATGCAGCTGCCCGTAGGAAGACTTCGTGCATATCACTAATAAACCTGAAGTCGTGATGAAAAGCCGTGTATGTGACTGGTCTGTTCCCCGAGCGGCCGGTGCCCGCCTGCCTTCTCACTCACAGCCCGGAAGCGGCTGCGCAACTCTGCTAGTGTGGTGGCGGCCGAAGCTGCTCTGTGCCCCTCCTAGACCCTGAGCCTCGGGAGCTGTCACTAATCAGGTTGGAGGGTGGGCACTCGGTACCAGGTGTCAGCTGGGCAACGGGAGGTGCCAGCAATGGTGCCAGGTCACCGGGTCAGCACCAGGTTCTCAACCCACTTGCCCCTGGGGGAAACCAGGCAGCAGAACACTAACAAACAGAATGAGGGAGCCAGAGAGCCCTGGGCTGCTTCAGATGACGACTCGGACGACCCCTGGAGAGGTTGTGTGTCTAACAGAAAGCCGGACCGCATGTCCAGCACCCGCTCTGCACCTGTGAGGCCTTTGCAGCCTGTTTAGCGACGATTCTGGCAGCTCTGCCAGCACTTACCTTCCTTCATGGCCACTCTTCTGGCATCAGCTGGTGTGCCAGGTAGCAAGCATGGGTTTTGGTCACCGGCAGGGGCCTGGGGTCCAGCTGGGTTAGGCTGAGGGCCTTGGATGGGGAGGAGCCCTCTTCTCTGGCTCCCCACAGGAGCGTGCGCACCACGCTATGAGCACTGACCACCTTCAGGGCCCGGGATTCTTGGGGAACTGCAGAGTAAGGAGAAGACTTACTTTCATCACCTGGCCGCCTGCAGGATGTGGGCCCAGGGCTTGCCTCAGCTGACCTGAGCCCTCAGGGACCTTTAAGAGACAGCCTTTCAAGGCGCACCCCCGCTCCATGCCTCCCTCTTCCCAGAAAGTATACATTGTAGAGGCAAAGAAAGCTGTTCCATAACGCTTGCTCTGAATATGCTGAAGAATGAAAAGCAAATACATTTTCTTGACGTGGCCAGCAAGCAAGAAATGCCAGAGATGGCCACATCCTTGGGGAATGAAAAGAAATGGCACCTGAGTCAGAGCTGGAGGGAATGGGCCTCCACTCAGGAGGCCCAGGCCAAGGGGAACCTTCTTAACGACAGGGCCAGAAAGCCCTGGCCAGCTGAGGACACGCGGGGGGACTCCCACCAAATCCTACACAGCTTTGAAAAACCTACATGGAAAACTGAGCTCCCGGCCTGCATTCCTCCCAGCAGCCCTTGGAGGCTGCATCCATGGAGGGACTGCCATGGCCAGTGTGGGCGGGCCTGCCTGTGTCCAGGCCCCCCGTTCCCCACTCTGCCCCAAAGCTGAGCCTCTCGAGGCTTCTGGAAGCACCGTGAGTGGCGTGGGTGTCTCAGGCTCCCTGGCTGGCTGCTGAAAGGCCCGCTCAGGACCCTGCCCCTGGCCAGCGGTACAATGGGCTCTCGGCCTGCCTCTGTCCCAGTTAGACCTCAGAGACACAGAGGCCAGAAATACTTTTTATTAAAACACTGATTATTATTAAAACACCTTGAGGTACATTAAATAAATACAACCCTTCCACTTGTACAAACAGGTCTCTGGTGGCTTGAAAACTATTCCCCATAAATTCTGCCTTAGCAGCCTCTGAGAGTCAGCACGGTTGGGGAGAAGCGTCCATGTGGAACGAGCTTTCTGCGGCCTGGGGTGTTAGAAGCATTTAATGTGGATCCTCTGCTCCACCCAAGGGAGGCCTGAGGTCCTTGCAAATGATGCTCCCGCTCTCCAACCCTGCATCTCTAAGAGTTGGGGTCCAGGTTCTCTGCCCTGAGCATCCCCATGGCCCCCAGGCTGGGGTCAGTGGTGGTGTCACAGCAGGTCCTAGTCCCCTTTGGGTCTCGGGAGGGCAGGGGACACCCAGGGCCCAGCTGAACTGGAAAAGGACGGTGTCACCCCCAAAGCAGCCACAGTTGGCCTTTTTAAGATCCCAGACAGCCTGATTGGAATTGGGGAAGGACGCGCAGGGAGGCGAGGAATTCAGCCTTCCCTTTTTCTGGGAGCCGACACGCAGCCTGGGGCTTGGGCTCTTGCTGCTGGAGCTGCCGCTACCCAGATGCCAGGGAGCCAGGCTCACGGGCACCACGGCTGCTGGGTCAGGTTGCCAGCACATTCCCTACTCTACCAGCACCTCTCTCTTCTGGGACCTTCCTGGGATGCCCAGAACCTGGACCCTCCTAGAGTCCATGAGCGGCCCTGAGCAGCTGGGCTGAGGGGGGCACCCCACCCCATCCCTGACTGCCTCGTTTCCAGGAGGCAGAAGGTTCCAGCCCAGTGGCATCAAGTTGGGTACAGTTTCCGTATTCACAAAACACCCAGAGTTGGGTGAGGGGGGTGCCGGTGTGGGGACCGCAGGGAGGCACCACTGGGGCAGAAGCCCCACGGGCTGGTGGGTCCGGGCCCTGCTGCAGAGAAGGGAAGGACCCCGAGCACCAGGCTGGGTGGCCCAGGGGGCCCCCGCCCCGGCCCCATGATGGCAACACGCCAGAAGCCGAGTCCACTGGGTGGGGGCACTGGCCTCGCTGGAACTGCAGCCAGGCCTGAGGACTGCGGCCCTGGCCCACCCAAGGGCTCAGCCCAAGGACAATGCTGTGTGGACCCCCCCAAGCAGGTGACACCCACGCGGCGCAGCCCCAGCGTACCTCAGAGACGGTGGAGACGCGGAGGCCAGGGCGTCGGGCGCGGCTGAAGCTGCTCCGGGGCAGCCATTTTGAAACTCCATCAATTAATTGCACCTGAAAGGGACTTGCCTTGCGTGAATCCAGAAGCCCCCACTTGAGGAAAATCAGAGGTTTCCTGACTTACAGTCTGAATAAAGTGCTCAGAAATTCATCTCTAGTACATCTCTCCTGGAAAAGTGCAGGTTGTCATGGAAAGGCCTGGTTTGGGTGTTCAGCCCTCTGGAGCAGGCGTCCCCAAACTGCGGCCCCCTGAGGCCATTCATCCGGCCCCCCGCCGCACTTCAGGAAGGGGCACCTCTTTCACTGGTGGTCAGTGAGAGGAGCACAGTATGTGGCGGCCCTCCAACGGTCTGAGGGACAGTGAACTGGCCCCCTGTGTAGAAAGTTTGGGGACACCTGCTCTAGAGCAACTGAAGCCTTCTCAAGCGACCAGAGCTGGCGGAGTCCTACATCTCAGCCCCAGCCGGGCCGGAGCCTCACCGCCTGCCTAGCCTCCAGCGACACAGACGCTCCCCAGCGCCACTGACCTCAGTGGGAAAACGCAGCATGAGCCCTGGCCCCCAGCAGTTGTGGGCACCCTCTGGTGCCCCCTGCCTCCCCATGCCAGGCCCACGGGCTCTCTGGGGAGACCTCGGGCTCAAGGCTTCTTTGTTCGCCGGAAAGCCCACCCATCGCAGCTCAGAGGCTGTTGCTAGTGGTCCTGAACGGGCATTTCCATCACTGCAGAAAGTTCTCGTGGACGGCGCTGTTCCAGGGCCACTGTTGGGAACAGCTGCCACTGACACCACCAGAAAATGGGGCTGGGGGCCGAGAAAGTCAAAGGTGCTCAAGCCACCCTCAAACTGGGCGTGCCTGCTTCTGCATAAGCAGCACGGTGGGGGTCTGCTTTCCTTTTAGTGTGTGTGTGTCAGTGGCTTACAATCTCTGCTGCCCGGAGGAGGGGGGGGTGGCTCTGGGTCACGGGGACCTGCTTTATCAAGAGGGACTACTTCCCAGAGAAACTGGCCTCTCTCCCCCAGACCTGGACCCACCGAGCTCAATCAGCTGAGCTCAGATACAAGGGAGACCCCCAAGGGGGCTGGGAATCAGCACTTACTGTTACGGATCAAACAAGGGTCTGCTCCAGGGACAGGGCAGGAGCCTGGAGAAAAGGGGCCCAGGAGGAGGTGGGGGAGGCACCCCACAGAGGGAGGCCCACAGAGGGAGGCTGAGCTCGATGTCCAGGAGACCGGGAGATGGTGGCTACCTCCAACCCCTGCAATGCTGGCCTGTCCCCTGGGGTGGCCGGGCTGTGACAGAGGCCCTCACTGGGCATTTGTTTGTACCGCAGCCCTGGGGGCAGAAAGCTGGGCCCAGGCTGCCATCTGTGCTAAAACTCCCTATTTCCTTTCATAGGAAACAGGCCAGAGCACGATGAACGTTTGATTCTAGAGCCATCGAACCACATGAGAAAATGTCTCGTGACTCGATGCCACTCTCTGTCCACTGAACACTAAGTTAAATTGGGGGTGGGAGACTCCTGCTTTGGATGGCCCTGATTTTGGAGATACTTAGTCTTTAGGTGACATGAGTGTCCCCTGTTGCTGTATTCACATTTGTGCAACAATGCTCAGTTCAAGCTCCTCCACGCCAGAGAGAGTTCACTGCGGACACGAGTCATCTTTCTGAATTACCAGGCTAGGTAGGAAGCGCAATCCCCAAGGAGACGACTGCTTGGTTTCCTGCCCTCGCTGCCCCCAGATGATCCTGGGTGTCCCCCCGCCCCCCGATTTGTCCTCAGCCAAGCTGGGCCTGAAGCCTCTGTCACGCAAGGCGGCTTCTGGCAAGAACATCTGTGGTGCCAGGCCCGTTGCTGTCCACGGCCAGACTTGTGGCTCCTTCATACCTGGTCCAGAACGCTGGCACTGAAGACAGCCGCCTCCTCGGGGGGCTCCTCGGAGGTGACGGCCACGTGCGCGGCACCCCCCACGTGCTGTGCCTCAGTGGGAAGGGCACGGTGCGAGTGTTCCAGAAACTTAGTCACCAAAACCCTGGCGTCCGTATAGGCCTTGCTGTCCACTAAAGAGCGTGGCCGCTCTTTGGAGGCCACTGGGAAGGCCTCTGGTGCTGGCCGTTGGTCAACTTTCGAGGTATCTGCGTCTCCCGCTGGTGAAAGCTGGGTCCGACAGGCAGCCGTAGCAGAGCGAGACATGGAAACTGAAAATCAAGGGGAAAGATGCCATTTGAAACTCACTGGAAACAAAAGAAAAGGCAGCCTTAAACAGGTCAGCGCCAAAGCAAAGAAATGCCTGCTCTCGGGACAAGCCTCCCGCTGGGGTTTCTGCGGTCCTGGGGCTGGCGCTCTGGGCACGCCCTGCTCTCCGAATCCCCCTCCCCTTCTCAGCAAAGCTGAGCTGGTGTCAACCTCCAGGGCTGCAGCCTCCAGGAGTGAGGCCTGGGGGAAAGGCCGCTGGACCTGGCAGGGACCCGCCCTCCGCCCCCTCGGCTAGAATCCTGGCTACACGAGGGCTTGGGTGAAGAGACATTGCCTTAACCAGCAGGAAATTCAGTGAACGCGTGAAAGGGAAAGAGGAATTACCGATAAAATTATAATGACCTGCCTGTGACTTAAGACGTGTATTTTAGATGGCAAGCAAGCAGGAGAAACCTGCTGAGCTGACACCCACCCAGTGGCAGGTCAGACAGGAACCGCCCTGCAGCTGGCCAGGTCTGGCCCAGTGTGGCCCCAGACAGGACTCCCAGGACCGGGACTCCACTCTCAGGGGTCATCGAGACCTGCAGCATCCAGGGAAAACCGGCCACACTCTTAGGACATGGGTGAGCCTGGCCAGCCATACCTGCTGTGCCAGACGTGCACGAGGTGGGGTCGCTGGTAGATCGGGACACATGCCCAGGACCTGGCTGCACCTGTGAGCCCATGCCCGGATCCTCCAGAGACACACAGTCAGGGTGAAGGGCAGGTTCAGGGGGCGCTGGGATTCCTACAGGGCCATCAGGGGAGGGGCTAGAACCTGGCGTGGCGATGCCCTCGGACACCAGGAGGCTTGTGCTGTCAGCTGGTACTGTAAGAGAAGAGACACGGCATTAGGACGGGTGACCTCAGGGGACGCTCATGTGGGACAAGGCCTGCCCCTCAAACTCCAGACCTAGATGAACTCTGAAACCCTGGGGGTGCAGAAACACTGAATAAAATTGACATGGCTGGGTGCAGTGGCTCATGCCTGTAATCCCAGCACTTTGGGAGGCCGAGACGGGTGGATCATCTGAGGTCAGGAGTTTGAGACCAGCTGGGGAAATATAGAGAAACCCACTCTGTCCTAAAAATACAAAAATTAGCTGGGTGTGGTGGCAGGCGCCTGTAATCCCAGCTACTTGGGAGGCTGAGACGGGACAATCGCCTGCACCTGGGAGGCAGAGGTTGCACTGAGCTGAGATCGCGTCATTGCACTCCAGCATGGTGGACAACAGTGAGATCGAGTCTTAAAAAAAAAAAAAACAAAACGACCAACATCGCTTTTATGCTGTTGAAAATTGGGGGCACCAAGTGAGTTCCCAGAAATAATTCCAGGAATGGCATGGGTCGGGGGCTTAGACCCTTCACACTACATAAGAGATGAAAAGTTAGAAATCAGACGCTTTGGTCACAGGACGCTTCGGTCTGGGTGAACAGGGCTGGTGCAGGGATACACAGCAGCTCTGAGGGACATCAAGGCATCCCTGCCAGGTCCTAGTGGGCCTGAGATCTGGCTCGCCCGTGCAGGGATGCAGCCCCAGGCCTGGCCTGCAGCCAGACAGGGCAGTGCAGGCAGGTGGATAAGCTCTGCCCACGGAACACTGGCCTTGACTCTCAGGGTGTGGATGTCTGGCCAGCAGCAGCAGCAGCCTTGCCTGGGAACAGTCCGGGAATGCAGACTCTCAGCTGGACCCAGATCCATGGAAGCAGAGACCCTGACGCTGGGCCTAGCCACCGGGGTTGGAGCGAGCCCTCCAGGGAATTTTGATGCCCTCCCAACTATAAGAACGACTGGTCCGGACCAGGATGTGGGTCAGGGCTGGGCTCCTGACTGGAACCACTCCGAGGCTGGACCCCTTGGGGGCTGGATGGGAGTCAGTTTTAAAGGTATCTCCATGGGGTGTGAATGCACGAGATGGCATGAGAAGTGCTCCTGCACCCTCGCTGCCATCACCTGCATGGGGGCACTATGGAGATCACGACAGCCTCAACTCCTCCAGGCGTGGGGGCTTCAGGTCTGTTCCTGCCACCCCTTTCTCCCCTGAGTCTGTGAGCTTGCCCCAGGGCGACAGGCCTTTCAGGCCACCTCCCACTTCATCTTCACTGCCTGTGAGGCAGCCCTAGTTTACCCCCATCCCATAGCTGCAGAAATGGGCTTAGACAGAGCCGGGTTGAGGGCCACATAGCCACCAAGGTGGTCCTCTACTCCGCAGAGTCCTGATTCTGTAGCCCAGCAGAAGCTTGGGTGCTGGAAGCTCTGCTGGTGCCTGAGTCAGCCATAGAGTTCACCGCCCACGTCCTGGGAGGGAGGAGGATCCAGCCCTGCTGAATTCTGGGCGAGGAGCACCCCTGTCTATTTCAGCCTGCCCCAAGATGGCAAAGAGTAAGAGGCCTGGTAGCACTGGCCCCCCTCAGCCCAAACCCTGATATGCCACAGGTGTGGCCACCCTGTGACAGTGATTGAAACACACTGTACCCTGGGTTGCCCCTGGGAAGGCCACTGAACACCTTCTTGGACAGCTTCTGATGGCTTGGGGTGACCAAGGGAAGAACAAGATTACTCCCAATGCCACAAGTGCAAAGACGCTGTGCTCTGCAACCTCAAGGTGGCCTCCCAGAAAGACAGCCCCTTCCTGGTTCTCTTAGACGTTGAGTGAGCGTTGGGGAGAGGACAGAGTACCCTGGGACTATTGTGGGATCGAATGAGTTATCTAACTGTGGTCTCCAAATAAGCCAGCCCACGTGGCGCCTCATAGAGGCCTCAGATGGTGGCTCTCTGGGCTCGCCTGGCCTCTGTGTCCTTGCTGCCTCTGCTACAAAGGGCTCTCCTGCTTTCTTAGAGCCTTAGACCACCTCCCCTGCCCGGGCTGTGCGCCTGACTCCCACCCTGTGTGTTTGGGGATCGATCTGACCCTTGCACACGTGCCCTTCAATGCCCTCCAGGACCTGACTTCCAGCTTGTGCCCCCCTTCCAGCTGCCCGGCCCAGCCACCTTCTTCAGAGGGAGATGCCATTGACTCGGTAGGTACAACTTTGGCTCTGGAAAGGCGACCCTAGATGAAGTCCTGCTCTTCTTCAAATCCATACCCCTCAAGTGAGAAAGCGGGCAGAGGGGACAAGGTCTCCCCAGAGAGCATGGGAGGTCTCTCAGGATGCCGACTGCAGAGGACGCAGGCACGGGAGGAAATGGGGGAACCTGGAGAGTGTTTCATGGGAAAGGCTGTTGCAAACTCCAGCCCCTTAATAAGGAATGGAGGGAGGAGGAAGAAGAGGAGAGAATAGGATGAGGAGGAAAAGGGACATCCTTGAAAACACGAACACCCACGTCAGAAGCGGAAAGAGGTGAGATTACCTGGAGTGCTGAAGCCAGCACTGGTGTTTGGGTCCCCGGAGCTAGACTCAGCTACCTGCTGATCTCTGCTTGTAACCTACAGTAAGAAACGGAAAGTGTCAAGGTGGGTCATCGTGGGAACACAGCACAGTAGTGCTGGCACTAAAAATTGTCTCCTGGGCCGGACACGGTAGATCACGCCTGTAATCCCAGGACTTCGGGAGGCCTAGGAGGGTGGATCACGAGGTCAAGAGATCGAGACCATCTTGGCCAACATGGTGAAACCCCGCGTCTACTGAAAATACAAAAAATTAGCTGGGCGTGGTGGCGGGCCTGTAGTCCCAGCTGCTTGGGAGGGTGAGGCAGGAGGTTGCAGTGAGCTGATATCGCACCACTGCACTCCAGCCTGGCGACAGAGCGAGACTCCGTCTCAAAAGAAAAGAAAGTTCACCCACAGCTCAACTCTTCTCCCTTATATTTATGAGTGAGGTCTGAGGGTTCAAGTCACCCTTGCAGAGGCCAAAGCCTAGTTCTCTTGTTTTGTTTTTTTTTTCCCCCCTGAAATGGAGTCTTGCTCTGTCACCCAGGCTGGAGTGTAATAGTGTGATCTCCACTCACTGCAACCTCTGCCTCCCTGGTTCAAACGACTCTTCTGTCTCAGCCTTCCGAGTAGCTAGGATTATAGGCACCCGCCACTGTGCCTGGCTAGTTTTTGTATTTTTAGAAGAGATGGGGTTTTGCCATCTGGGCCAGGCTGGTCTCAAACTCCTAACCTTAGGTAATCAGCCAGCTTCAGCCTCCCAAAGTGCTGGGATTACAGGTGTGAGCCACCGCACCCGGCCCAAAACCTATTTCTGTGAACTTTTGCAATCAGTGTGCTCAGCTGGGCCACAGAATCCTGATGTCAAGTTGCACCACCATCGATCTTTTGTGACTTTCTATTTATTTTTCGTTTCTTTATATGTTTTAGAGACAGTCTCTCACACCATGGCCCACGCTGGAGTGCAGTCATGCCATCATAGCTCACTGCAGCCTCAAACTCCTGGGCGTAAGCAATCCAGCCTCTTCCTTCCCAGTAGCTGGGAGTATACGTATGAGCTACCACGCCCTGCTTTTTTCAGCTTTCTTCTGGGACAGATTTCGATTCTGCCTGGAGAGGCCTCGGAATCTGAGGGGAAGGCTACACCCCGTCTGTTCTCTACCCCATCTTCGTTCTGCCCATTCTGTGGGGAGCATGGTTTCCAGCTCGGAGGGCACAGCTGTGCCATTGCTGCGTTAGGGTCTCCGGATTCGACGTTTACATGCAATGCATGCTATACACACGTCATGTGGGCACCACCAGGCACCCCATGCCACCTCAGAAAACAAGTTTTCAATCCTTGCGTTATTTCAGAATTGCTTTGGGGATACGCTTGCAAATAATGAGCTCCAGAGGAGACTGGGAAGGTGAGGGGGGCCCCTGCGGCTCCATCCCTCCGATTTCAGCTCAGGTAATTACATGTCTGCCTCCCCCATCTCCCGCCACTTCAATCAGATAGCTGGTCTCCTTCATCTCTCCTCTTCAACCAGGCTGACACCGGGTGGGGGATGGGGCTGTAGCCTTCCCACCCACACAAAGGGTGTGAGCTGCCCCTGTGGCATGGGGCTCCAGAGGGGGGTTTGAGACAAAGAGACGAGGGAGAACCACCTAAGTGTGTCCTTTGAATCTCACTAAGATGCTTCTGAGTGATTCTGCTGGGAGGGAGTCGGGGAGGGAGACTTCACCTCACCATCAGTGCTCACTTGCTTTTCCACTGAAGTCATTATGTGCCAATAACCGATTTTGGAAATCTCTGTCCAGAACCTTCCACCGAATCACAGGAAGAAAGCAATGCCCTAACGGTGTGTTTCATCTGGCACCTCCCTTCCCGCATCTGACCTGCCCTTGCGCTTTCTTGTCTTCTGGATCGTAGCTGGGTGGTAACTTACAACTCTGATGTCTAAAAGAAATCTTCGGGTAATAAAGAAACACAAATGAAACAAGAGAAAGAAAACACGCAGTGGGGTAAGTTCAGGAGGAAACTGGATTCGCTTCATATTTCGCAGAAGCATCACTCGCTTCCCTCTGGCTCCTGGTCAAATTCAAATTCAGTTTTGAGAGGAGGCAGTTCCTGGGAGCATATCTGTCATCTCTCAGCAGCAGAGTGTCAAGAGTTTAATTTAAATGTGGCCATTCCCTGATGTCAGAAGCCACCTTGCCACGCTAAGCCATGGGGAAGATAGCGGTTCCTCTCATATAGCATTTTTGATGAACTATAAATGTAGGAGAAAAGGGTGGGGAAGAAATGTATTTGTAGCATACAATTTAAGTTGAAATTTGAGTTCAGCGAGGAAGCTCATAAACACAGCTCTTTACAGAAGGAGAGTGGGGACGGGGCTGTGGACAGGAGACACTTCAGGAATCACTTCACCTGAGTCTTACTGGTTTGCTGATGTGCTATTCTGAACAGTCATCGTAACTGAAAAATCAATTGGCATTTCAACAAATAATTCACCTTGTACAAAGCTCTGTGGCTAAGACACTCAGCATGGAAATTCCGTAGTACATTTCCCACTCCTGGGTGAGGTCAACCATTAGAACCAGATTTATGAAAAGCTGTTCTTTTGGGTCAATTCCAGCAATCATGCAAAATGTGAGTTAAATTTTAGGCTGGTGGCTCAAGGCGAACTCTGAGCACGCTTTGCTAACAGATTTTTTGTAGATCAGAACTTGTAGGACTTGACGCTGGTCTCAGACTGCACTGGTCCCCTCCCTTCTCGCGACTCCTGTCTCGCTCTGGGGTTCCCTTCCACCTGCTGTGCTGTCATCAAGTTAAACTCCCACAGCACCACTGGGTCATGTGCAACGTGCCAAGCTCCTTAAAGGCACTTTGATAGTTTGACATCCAAGGTCATAAAGTATCTGCCCAAACTATTTCAGCCCTGGTGAGCTGAAGCTCACATAGCCAGGCTCCAGGCCACCCTGCTGTTGGCCTTAGCTGACGCTTTGACCTATCTTCACCGACACCACCTCCCCTCCCCCACACATCCCAACCCCCGCCACCACCTCCCCTCCTCCACACACCCCAACCCCAACACCACTCCCCCTCCTCCACATACCCCAACCCCCCACCACCCCCCTCCACACAGCCCAGCCCCCCACACCATCTCCCCCTCCTCCACACACCCCAACCCCCCACCACCTCCCCCTCCTCCACACACCCCAGCCCCCCACACCACCTCCCCCTCCTCCACACACCCCAACCCCCCACACCACCTCCCCCTCCTCCACACACCCCAGCCCCCCAAACCACTGCCCCCTTCTCCACACACCCCAACCCCCCACACCACCTCCCTCTCCTCCACACCCCAGCACCCCACACCACGTCCCTCTCCTCCACACATCTCAGCCCCCCACACCACTGCCCCCTCCTCCACACACCCCAACCCCCCACACCACCTCCCTCTCCTCCACACCCCAGCCCCCCACACCACCTCCCTCTCCTCCACACATCCCAGCCCCCCACACCACCTCCCCCTCCTCCACACACCCCAACCCCCCACACCACCTCCCTCTCCTCCACACCCCAGCCCCCCACACCACCTCCCCCTCCTCCACACATCCCAGCCCCCCACACCACCTCCCCCTCCTCCACACACCCCAGCCCCCCACACCACCTCCCTCTCTACACACCCCAGCCCTCCCAGATCACCAGGCCGTGTTCTTCTGCAGAAGCCTCAAAAAAGTTTGTCTTTGTCGGGTCACTACATGAGGGTGATGTGACAGGGATTCTGTCCTATACCCACTGTTGTCAGTGGTCCCTGAAACATACACTTGCCACCAGGACAAGAAGATCAAACGTAAATCACTTTCCTGCTCTCACAATGTGGAAAGGAGAAAAGTTCCTTTTTAAAGTTTCCTTTCTTGTTAAAGAATAAGTGTGCTAATAACTTGGTTAAGCCCTATCCTATGTAGCTGGTAGACATGCCATGCTTACAGGCACGTAGTACATTCTGTGTCCTTGTGCTTTAAGCCAAATATCTGTGCTGGACGTGCTCACAGGCATGTCCCAGCTCTCCATTGCTTTTACCTGTTCAGAAAAGTTTTAAGTTGTGAGCCAATCGGGTTTTAGTTTACATTGTGAGGTCTGGCTCCAGCCAAGGGAGATCAGACCCAGCAGTAAGGACCACCCCAGATATGCTGGGAGTAAATTTGTCTGCTTTTCCTCTGCTCGTTGTACTCTATGGCAAGATGGCTAGTCAAGTAGCCTTCCTGCAGTCCAGGAGGTAAAAACTGCGATGCTTAAAGAGCCTTTGCCTCAGTGCTAATTTTTCTTTGTGGCTCCGAGCATCTACTTCCAACACAAAAGAAACTCACTCCTTCAACCCTGGCTGAAGACTACAGCCACACGAAAGAGAATGGCGTCTGACCCAATCCTCCTCCATCCGGCAACTGACCTAAGCCAGAAGAGGAGTGTGCGCGGCCCATCACGTCCTCGGGGGAGGCTGCCCCTCCTGTGCTAAACCTCTTCCCCAGCGCACCCCCCTCCCCCAGACCCCAGAGCCAGCTGCGCCTCCAAGGAGTCTGCTTTCTGCAGCCTCCTATCTTTATCCAAATGAGTGCTGAGGGCAATTTCTACGCCATTTGTCCTAACAAGGAGAAGCAACTGACCCCTCCTCAGAGGCGTGCAGGGTTGTGCCATGAAGGGGCGTTCCTCACTGTCTAGTCGGGGGGCCCTGCTGCCTAGAGGGGACAGCTGGCGGCACGGCCTTCCCTCTGTGTACGGTAATGGGCTTCGTTGACTTCCAGACTCCCAGACGTGACCATGAATTGAAAAGTGCTCTCAGACCAGGAGGTCAAACAAAGTGGGCCTGAGGGCTGCAGCGGCCCCTTAATCACCAGATGCTGCCCTGCTGCCAGGCGGGCGCCCAGGGACAGGCTGTGCAGGCGGTCGTGCTGGGCCCCTGCCAGCCCTGGGAGCTGGGGGTCGCTGAGCCAACCCATGCTAATCTGAGATCAGCCTCTGACCTTACAGCTCTTCTCACTGCAGTTCTGACAACGAAATCTCAACTGAGAGAATTCCCCAGAGTTTGAGAGAGGGGTTTCGCCTGGGCTTCATGACCAGCACCATCCCTTCCCATAGATTTGACTCGTCAGAGCAAACAGTCCAACTGTAACACAGCAGGGATCCATGTCCTTCCCGGAGCCACTCAGGCACGGAACGTCACACCCAGGTCCAGAAGCGACTTCCAGCCGCGGGGCCTGGGCTCCATGGATGGGGGTTCCCGTCGTGGGGGAGGCAGAGGGCTCCGAGGGGCGGAAGGGAGAACAGGGAAGCAGGGCCAGTCCCAGCGCAGAGCTGGAGTTGTGATGGCAGCAGGCAGGGTCACTGAGCAGAGGCGGAGGAGAAGACAGAGACGCTCCCTCGCCACAAGGCAGCCGTGGGGAACCACACACCCCTGTGGCCTTCAGGGATTTCCCGGTCCACCCGCCACCCTGCCCAGTGTCTCTGCCGGCTACAGCGTGGAGCTGCCCATCTGCACCCCCGGTCAGCCTGCCCTCCGCCTTCCCAGGGACTTCCCTCATGAAGGGCCCCGTCCTGGGCCTGCTGCCCTCACCCTCTAGGTCCTTCATGTCTGCCTGGTGACCTCCTCAAGGTCCTAGATCACACTCCCCTCTAATCACCATCCCCTCTTGTCTCTTTACTGAGCTTCCGGCAAGAGTGACCTACTCCTGCTCTCCAGCGCATCCCTGGGGCAGCAGCGGGGCTGAGGCTTTGACAGGCAACACACCCTTAGCCCTCACCCCACCCCAACACCCCAATGACTGACTCAGAGACCCTGGGGGTGAGCCCAGCCATTAGGATTTGAGGAACAAGTTCCCTGGGGGGCACCCGCTGGCAACTAAGAACCGCGGCCATGCCTGCACTGCCCTGTGGACGTGCCCTCCACTCCTTCACCTGCTGTGGTCCGGCCCTGCCCTCCATCCCACCAAAGCTGCCCGTCCATGGTGAGCCACATGGCCCTGGGGGTCAGCTTCTAGAAAGCGCCTGGCCCGTCACTTCCTTCCGGAACTGCTGCTTGTGGCAAATCCAGGCTCCTGGGAGCCTGCGTGGTTACCTGCAGCCTACCAAGTGCGGGGGTGCCTTTCTTCCACCACCTGCAATCATGTCATTTCTGTGGGGCAACCTCTCTCCCATTTCCCAGACTCCAGTGAGAGCAGCAGCTAACAGACTCCTCTGAACTACAGCTCCTGTCATCGTGCTGTAGTTCACACTCACTCAGAATTCAACCCACCACACCCAGACACGTTACCACCCATGCCCGCTCATCTGAGACTCTTTCTGGATGGCCCTCTGTCTGGGGGATATGCTGTGCCTGCCCTTCCTCCCTCTGAGCCTTGCACAGGCTGTTCCCTCTCTCAGGAGCCCTTCCAGCCCCACTCCCTGCACCTCGCCTGCCCGATGCCTGCCCAGCCTGACTTCCCAGCCTGACCTCCCAGACCCTCCCTGGACCCCTAAATTGGACCTGACACCATGACAGGTGCCCCACGTGCACTGGGCTCCCCTCGAAGCACTGATGATAACTGTTATCACAGCCAGCCGTCCCCATGAATAACACTGATTTGAATTACTGTTACTATAAACGGAAAGCTAAGCAACACTGGGCAGGCAGGGGTCCCGGCTCAGCTTTAAAAAAAAGTCTAAGAACATCTCCACGACTGCATGTTCGGGAATGGGATTTCGGGGCCATGCCCGCCTCCTCACTAAAGGATTCCTCCCCACAGGCAGCTCCCACACATGTGCTTCTAGAACCCACAGGAAGAAGGGAGTCCCGGCTGGGGTGCAGGGACCGCAGTCTGCAGCTGTCCAGCCACTCCAGGCATTCCAGGCTCACTGTCTGCTGTGTGAGGGGGTGCTGGGGGCTCATGGGCCAGCCAGAAGCTGAGGTGGCCCACCATAAGCCACCCCAAAGGAGGTCCCTACGGCATATGTGACTCCCCAGGTGCATGGCGCCTCACAGCGTCTGAACGCGCTCTCCATGTTTCCAAAGCGCACAGGGAGGCCGTGTCTCTTCCTGTCCTAAGACCACCTGGCCTGCTAAGGTGACCTGTCCTTGTGGGTGTGATTGTCAGCAGGGCTCATGAGCTTATTCGGCCGCCATGGAAACTGCTGTTCCACCCACAGAGGCTCCTCAGGGTCAGCACTGCCTCAGTCCCTGGTTGGCAAAGGGACCAGCATTGCCACCTGGCCTGCGTGCACGTGGGCCTTCGGGATCTCACATGACAGGAAAAACATTGGGGGTGACATCAAAAGGCCTGAGCCCTGTGCTAGGGTGGCTTTACAGGAGTCAGCAGACAGCGGGCAGCCATCCAGGCCTGATCTGACACCCTGTACCGCTGCCTGGCCGGTGATCTGGGCAGAGAGAACCGTCTGGGGCTCCATGGCTGCCGAGAAGCCCACACTGGGCGCAGTTCTGGGCGCGCCTGGATGCTTCAGGTCATGCTGTCACCCGCTCTCCTCTGCTTGCTGCTTGGGGCTCAGAAGTGGCTTCAGCCCCTCCCTCCACCCCTCCCTGGTGAACCTCCTCGGCTCCCCTGCCTGTGCCCTCTGCTCCAACTTGCTGCTGTGTGGCCCAGCCACGCCCCGGTCCCCGAGGCCTCCAGGACCGCCCTGCCCGCCTGTCAAGGGCGTTCTCTGACCTCTCTAGCAGGACTGGGGAGTGTTCACAGATGATACCCTAAAATACGTTTTCCAATCGCTTGCTTTCTTTCCCTGTATCTCAAGGACACCAGTGAACTGTCCATTTGGTCATTTACATAACCGCACATTCCTTGGAGCGTGATGTAAGGTCACTATGGGCCACGTGACCTTTCCAGATGTCCCCATCGCTCTCCCCTGGCTAGCAGCATTTCACATTGAGTAATGACAATGACGACAAGGAGGAGGAGGAGGACAATCCCCAAAAACGGTGGCTGACGTCTGCTGAGCTCAGTACTTAACTATGCTCCAGGTCCTGTTGGCTCCATTCATACAACTTCCCATTTGGTCCCATGACCTTGGTACTATGATGATGCCCATTTTACAGATGAGGAGACCGAGGCTTCATGAACATACAACCTGTCACATGTCAGCCACTGAGAGGCTGTGGGAGTGCCCGGCATGCACAGGTCACAGAAGGCCGGACGCACTGGTGGTGGAGGCACTTCCCAGGCCTGAAGCGTCTCAGCCTCAGACAGGAGCAGGGACCCAGGGCAGCTTCCTCCCCTCCCCAAAGGGCGCTGATGGCAGTATGTGATCAAGGCTGGCCGGAGTGTCCTGGATACTCGGTCCATGGACCCAGCTCTGCTCCTGGGGGCTCTGCCCTAGGGTCAGGAGCTGTCCCAGGTCCTTCTGCCTGTATCCTAGAACACCCACCAGCATGAAGCTCAGACGCACCTGGGCTGTGAATCGTGGCTGCAGAAACGGAAGTGGGGAGACAAGGAACAAGCACTGACGCTGGGTGCCCCAGGCCCGGGCTGGTGTCTCTGCAGGTGCTGCTCTCTGAGCCTGTGGCCCCATCTGTAGCACAGGGCTAATGAGACCAACATCCTGGCCAGGTGCGGTGGCTCATGCTTGTAATCCCAGCGCTCTGGGAGACCGAGGTGGGTAGATCATGAGGTCAAGAGATCAAGACCATCCTGGCCCACATGCTGAAACCCCATCTCCACTAAAATACAAAAAACCAGCCAGGCGTGGAGGCAGGTGCCTGTAATCCCAGCTACTCGGGAGGCTAAGGCAGGGGAATCGCTTGAACCCGGGAGGCGGAGGTTGCAGTGAGCCGATTGTGCCACTGCACTCCAGCCTGGCGGCAGAGCAAAACTCCATCAAAAAAACAAAAACGAAACAAAACAAAAGACCAACGTCCCACAGGTTTGCTGAAACGCTTCAAGACAGACAAATGCCTCAGGGGGCCTCGGTGCAGGGCACTCGCGGGTGGGCACTCCACGGCCACTCGGACCTGGCGCAGTGCGCGGTGCCTCCCAAGGGCCGGCCGGGAGAGTGTCCCCAGCGTTCCCACAGAAACTGGCCTTGTCTGGGGCCCCGGGCCTCACCTGGCTGGCAGGGGGCTGGCCCACCACCGCCTCGTACGGAGGCGGGAGCTCAGCAGGATAGAGCAGGCCGGGGCTGTTGATGGCCACGTCATACAAAGTGCTGAATGGAGACGGAGCAAAGTCCAGGTGGAGGCCCCTGAAAAGGCAGAAGCATCACATCGTCACTGCCTGGGGAATGAGGCGGAAGGGCTGGCAGCTCTCAGAGCAGCCCGAGCAGGGGCGGCCAGGGTTTTTCCCTCTCCTAAGACTTCCCATCATGGTGAAATCAAAGCTTCACTCACTGGGCGATCTGCACCTTTGTTTTAGAACAACATCAACATCTTCAAGAAACTCTACCCACCTGTCCATTAAAATTCAAATAATCATACAGCTGATGAAATCCTCATCCAACTTCAAATGTAACACAAATGACTGTAACTTGACGGCAGCTTTGCACATCATGAGAACATGAGGCAGCAACTCCCCGCTGCCTCTGGTTTCTTTTGGGCTGCGTCACCAAGGTGCCAAGGGGAACAGTCGACGTCTAAGGCCTCTCCTTCCACTGCCCCTTCCCTGTTCCCGGTGCCACGCCTGCAGGACCCCTGCCACTCCCACCTCCCAGACGCTGCTGCTCATCCCAGCGGCTTCAAGATGGGGGCGGCGTTGGGGACACCAACCTCTGGGCGTCGGCGGAGGGTGTGCAGGTGTACTCTGGGGGATAGTAGGGTGGAGGCGGGAGCGGGGGGATGAACTCATCGAAATCCAGGGTCTGGTGGAGAACGGTGCCGTGGGGAGTCACGCAGGCCGGGTTGGCGGGATGCGACCTCTGAGGAAGAAACTGGAAAACAGAGACAACCACCGAGTTATCTGGGACATCTTGTGTGGCTTGTGTCTCATGAAGCTAATCACGTGCAAGCTTTAATGATCAGTCTGGAATGCCTGCAATTTCAACGGTCAGGCCACAACGGCTAAGCACACGCTTTGAAACGAAGGCTCCAGGAGGAACGCCTTGCCTCAGAAGCCTCCGTACGCTTTGCTGCCCACGCTGTTACACAGACTGCCTGTTTTTACAGAAAAAATACGGTCTGGGAAGTCTTGGGTGCTGTTCCTGCTGCTCCACCTGGCCCTCTGAAGACAGTCCTCAAAGACTGCTGTCGGAAGGCTGCCTGATGTCCGTGGTTTAAGACGGCACTGGCCAAAGTGTGTTCATGAGAAAACACTAGACCCTCCCCTTGAGATGTGCCCCTGTCACCCCGGAATTCCTGCGGTGAATCTGTGGAAAATGCCACATACTCCCTTAGTGGAGTCCCGCAACGTGCATTTGTGTGTTCAAGGCTCTGAGAAGGCCTGCACAGAAGCACTCACTTAGCTGTCCAATGCTTTAACCCAGCCTTTCTCAAATATTTCATAAAGGGCCCTTTGGGCACATAGCCTCTATTAATATTGGGCAGTTCTCGGGATTTCACAGTTTGGAAAACACTGCTCTGAGGAAAGAGAGACAACTTCACGAGTTCCAGAACCTTCTATGGGCCAACCTTGAACACTGAGATGCTACTTTAACAGTGACGTGAAATCACTTCAACAAAATGAAACCCGTTTCTGCCTAGTTTTCCATTTCTGAAGTACTACCAACCAACTGCTTTTCTTTCCACCTCCACGTCTCTGCTGTCCAGAGGTCCCCCGTGACATGGAGATGCCTGAGACATTGCTCCAGCTGCAGTCAAGCCTGCCCTATGAGAGTCCACATGGCAAAAAGAGTCATGCTGCAAAGCGCTCCTGGCCAGGGGCCCTACCTGCACGTGGCAGGTGAGGTAAGGAGAGGAAGGTTGAGTGTGTGTGTATGTGTGTGTGTATGTTTGTCTGTACATGTTTCTCTGTATGTGTTTATGTAGGTATACACGTCTGTATGTATGTGCATGTGTGTGTGTAGATGTGTATGTATGGGTATATGTACATGCATGTGTATGTATATGTATCTGCATGTGTGTCTGTGTGTCTGCATGCGTATATGTGTATGTGTGTGTCTCTGTGTATTTGTGTGTGTGTGCTGAGGGAAGAAGGGACCCACAATCACCCCACACAAGCAAGGACAGCTCCTTTAGAAAACAATGAGGTCTCCAAGCACTGTGTGAGCCTGCAGTCCCCAAAGCATTCATGAAGAAGGCATCTGGGCAGGTCTCGAAAGATTGGTGGGATTTCATCAAGAGGGCATGCAGGGAGATACTGAGGCTCCAAAGCAGGTGAGCCAGGGATGGATATGTTTAAGAAAAGCAAACAGATAAGGCTCTGGAGATCGATTCTTAATTCTGGGGCACTGGGGAGCCAGTGAGGGTGTTGGAGCTGGGAGCAGGGGAACTAGAGCTGCGTGTAGAGAGGCCTTCCAGCAGCAGGGGTAGCGGGGGCTGCAGCTGACAGAGGCCAGGATGTGAAGCGCTTCTGCACTGGTAGGGTGTGGTGACTATTCTGAATGGGGTCAGGTGCTGTGAAATGAGTGTACTCTAGGCTGACAGAGAAAGGCCGGTGGCCGTGTCTAAAGGTTTGTAAATCACAGGAAAATGGCTCCCATAGCCTCCCTAACACACAGAGCACACTCCTTGCCTCTCTGGCTGGACCGACCCATGGATGTGTGTGTTTAATTGTCTGAAACAGGCGGATCATTGGCTGAGAACAGGGCGGATGTGCATCTGTTGTCCGCCGCCTGGTGCCCAGCTGGGGTGCTCATGCATCTGAAGTGGGCATCACCAGTGCCCAGGGCTGTCCCCACACAACAGGAGTGAGTTAGTCCAGATGCCTGCCGCACAGAGATGAGAGGTAGGGTGAGGGCAAATGCCCCCAAGTCTAATCAGGAAATAGTTTCCATTAGCCTCCATCGGACATTAGAAAAAAATCAATGACATACTCAAGCAAAACTGAAGACACGCAGACACCAAAACACTTTCCAATCCAAGGCACCATCCCACCAGGAAAGAGAGCACGCGTTTGAGGAGGGCGGGGACTGCAAGTGACCCTCTCCGCAGGTGCAAGTGAGCAGAGGCTGCCACACACCGGAGGCTGTGTCAAGGTCGAAGCACGCCCCTGCCTCTGCGCTAAGCTCCGGATCGCCTTTTGGGGCTGAGTTGCCCCCACCGTCCTGGACTCCAGCCTGGACTTCTTTCCCAGGGATCCTTTGACCTTGACTCCTCAGCCTCCCCAGCAAGAATCCCGCAAATGGCGCTTGATGTCTCCCGTCTCTTCCCCACCATCGGTGTGTGTTTAATTAGGGCAGGGTGTGTCTTCGTCCTCCTCTCTACAGGCTGGGGCTGGAGGGCTGCAGAGCCTGGGAGCTTCTCAGGCTCCTGTGCCCGGGGTACAGCTGGGCTCTGCCTGTAAGGGGCGCCAGAGGGCGCCTGGCCAGCCAGCGGGGCAACAAGGGACCTGCGGGTTTTCTGCACGTTTCCCCCTCCTCCTCCCGTTCCCCGGCTCCGCGGGTTGAGAGCTCCCTGCAGTTATTCCTCTCTCTGTAACCTCAGCACCCGTTCTGTTCCCCAGCCTTCCACACCAAGTAACCTGTTCCTCCTGTGTTGAAATCCTAAGGGCGATTTCTCTTCCTGACCTTTGGGGCACATCTGTTTCACCCACCTTTGTGTTCCCAGCTCACCACCGCACACAGCAGGTGCTCAGTAAACTTCGGCGGAGGAGACAGGCAGACACCTGGCGGGGGGGCTCCACTCAGCCCCTGCCCACCTCCTCCTCGCAGGAGCTGTTAACCTGGGTGCCTCTCTGCCGTGATTTTCTGTCTCTAATTTGGTCACCATCCTGCTGGCAGAGCTGTTTTTAAACCAACCTGATGGGGTCACTGCAGTTGAAAATACTTTAATAAGACCTTGGCTCACTGAACTCCATCTGGTTTCCAGCTTCCTAACCAACCAGCGCCCCTAAACTCCCCGCTCTTTGAACAAACCTGCTCCAATCCCAACTAGCAAACACGTTTTGTTCCCTCTTCCCAGCTCCCCACCTCCCTTTCATCTGGCACCTCCCAGTCACCTCAGGACCAGCGGAAATGCCTGTGACCCTGAAAAGCCTGTGGGCAGCCACCCCTCCCCCGCCTTGCCAAGCTCCAGGCTCTGGAGCCTCACCTGCTTGTTTATTGCCAGAGACAAAGCTCAACTCTGCACCCAGAGGTGAAGGGCAGGAAAGGGGCTCTGAACTGTCCCTTCTTTCCCAGGTGGCTCTGCTTGCCCTGCTCCGTACCTGTCTTCTCTGATCTTTGTGGTGGCAAAGGTACACCTGAGTCTGGTGCCCAGCTGGGGTGCTCACGAACCTGAAGTGGGCATCACCAGTGCCAGGGCTGTCCTCCCACAACAGGACTGAGCATCTGAGACCCTGCTGGAGAAAAGCCCTGCTCGGTCTGCTCCGGGGAGAGGGGATCCGAATTCAGGTGTGTGATGTCCTCCGGGTGCATGTGGAAATGACAGAGGACAAGAACTAAGGCTCCCTTGCCTTGGGCAGCTTCCCAAAGCCCACTGAACACGGAGCCCCAAACATTTCGGTCTATCCACACAGCCCAGGGCTGGGATCTGAGGGAGAGCATGAAGCGGTCAACACCTGGGACCAGGAGTCCAAGGGTACGTCAGTTGTCTGTGGGCCCTGCCTGGGCACTGAGCACCCACGGGATGTGAGCACATGACTGACCCTTTGAGTCTCGGTCCCCTTCCCTGAGAAGCACCATCGCTCGGTCACAGACCAGACAGCAGTGGCGTGTGGTTTAAAGGAAAGCTCGCATCATCCTATGAGTTCATCTGACCCATGCCTCCATCTCTTGCCATGGAGGGCAGGGTGGGGCAGGTGGCAGCGGTCTGTGGACAAGGGCCTTGATTTCCAGGAACACCGTGGAGCTCTGAGCTGCCCGTTCCTCCAGGTCCCAGCCAGGTCTGCTTACCTGCCTTTATGTTCAGGGCGCTCCTGCCCAGCACCCTCTCTCCCTGTTCCCTCTACCAATGTCCTCAACACATCCTGGCTCCTGAGGGAGCACACACACCTCTCAGTTTTCCAGAAAGACTCAGAAATACAGGGGAGGGCCGGGAAAGAGCGGCTGAGACCCGCACAGTGGTGCAGGGCTGCCAGGCTGCAGGGCTGCCTCAGGGGCAAACTGGGAAGAGGCGCTCCTTCCAGTGGGAGGCCAGGGCACTGGCTGTCATCCCCTGAGCCCAGCACCCCTCTGCAGGGGGTGGCAAAACAGGGCAGTGGGGGCTGGAGCCGTGGCTGGGGGGTTCCTACAGGTTTTTTCCGAGAAAAGAAATTAAGGTTAGCTGATCAGGAAAGAGTGGCCAAAGGCCTTCTACACACTGGCCCACAGTGAGCTTCCTTCCTAATTATGCTCCCTCTATACATTAGCACTTGTCACTTTGAAGGGCTCAGATATGAATAAACACCAGAATGAAGAGTCAGTACAACAAAAGCCACAACTGAGTGCAAGAAATGAAAACTTACTCAGAACAGAGGGTTCACAATAGGGGAAGAAAAGAAACACAGAAACAGCAGGGAGCAGTAAAGCTTCTGTAAAGTAAATCTAGAGAGGTCACGAAGGTGTCACGGGAGGCTGTGACTAAGGACTAAGCATGACTGACATAGAAAGGACATCCCAAAGGGCTGACACTAACACATTTTGCCTGGAACTAAATGTAAACGAAATGATGGAAAACCCAGAAGCGGGCCATGGTGTGGGAGAAGGAGGAAAGTGGACTCACACCAAAGAAACGACAGGGTAAGGAGAAAGTCACAACGGGGACACACAGATGCCAAGAGTCACCTTCCTCTCTAGGGCTGGTGGTTGCCTGGTTAATGAACAAGAAAGTTAAG